AAAGTACCACTTCCGGTTATCGGAAATCACTCAAAAGATGATATGGATCTACGATTTTGATAAAATACTTATATATGAAATTTCATCAACCTAGCTGTAACGGTACTCAAGTTATCGTGTTTACACACAGACACACAGACACACACACAGACACACAGACATACGGACAAGATTGCAAAATTATGTTTTTCCGTATCAGTGAGGTGTAAAACGTCTAGAATTCTAAAAATTTCGATTTTTTTTTGCACGATTACAATACTTTCTCTATACTTCGTATATACGAGAAAGTAAAAAGGTTAGATTTTTAAAAATGTCCCTCAATTGAAGGCCGTTCAGTAGTCTAATGGTGTTGATATAAATTATGCATCTGAAATAAAAATGTTTTTAATGAGAAGTATTATTTCTATTTAAAACAATCTATATTAGTAAAATAAATTATTTTTATTTAACAAACGTTTTAACCTTGCAACAGTGATTTATTTCGACGCAGTATTGATACTGTCATTCATTAAAAATTGTCTTTATAAATTACAAAATTGTTCAGCAGTTTTATTATTTATCTTTATTCAGGCAGACATAGCTCTCTGGGCACCAGGAACTATATTTTCAGCGATGTGCTTTATATCTGTAGTGATGTTTATCAGACTTCCTGAAACAAGGGGCAGACCACTACCAAACACAATTGCAGAGATGAAATAGTGGTGGTTGAGAAGCTTAATACTTGCTCTTTCAAAATAAAGAATTTTGTAAAATTATCTTAGTGTCACTAAACATCTTAATTTTGTAATGAAATTAAGAAAACTTATTAAATTATTATTAAATATTATTCCAAAATGTAAATGTATTTCGCAGTTAATAAAATATAGTATGCACAAAAACACTAATAACTACACCAGTATCATTAAAAGCGGTACGCAGATGGAAGCAGTCGGTCGCCCAATGACCATTTTCAGTATTTAGCAGCCTTCCTATTTCTGCTGTTTACTCCATACCTGCTGGAAATGGGCAGTTTGATTTTTTTGGCGGGGTAATATACAGGGTGAAAGGTACTTGATCTGTGGATAATGTTGGAGGATAACCGTGGGGCAGTTGACAAAGGGTTTTGTCCTGCACCCATTAAACTGTTGTTGTTTTTTTTGTAAACCATGCCCCATGGAACCCCATTTTGCTTCCCTCCCATATTTATATAAAAGCACAGAGTTGACAAATCGCTTGCTGGTCAGCAGATCTAGAATATCTTCTGAGGCAGTTATATTGGGATTTGGATTAAATTTATACTCTTACTTCATATGTAGGCATCTGATCTCTTCAATAATAAATGTACATTGTCGTAAACAGTTCTATGTTTGCCCACAAGCTATTTAAAGTAAGATTTTTAAGCTAACTAAAAGCCGGTACATCATTGATGAAGCCATACCGTATATATGTGAGCGGGCGTCAGGAAGGGTAGGATCTTCTGGATGTTTGAGTCTACCTGTTGAGCATTCTTCACATCGGCCGGTAAGGCCGAAGACAGGAAATTGCAGTGGGCCTCCAGAGGGACAGGTTGAGGTGTTGATACTGCCACCTCTGGTGGGACCCGGGTGGTGACCTGGTACACTCCGGAGTACTGGACTTCTGGATCTCTGGCTGCAGGTTTGTCCACAGGAAACCTGGACAGGGCATCCGCGTTGGCATTGGATTTGCCGGACCTGTATTTTACTTCGAAGTCGAAGACATCCAGGTCAGCAATCCAGCGATGCTCAGTTGCACCGGTCTTAGATGATTTAATGTAGCTAAGCGGATTGTTATCCGTCAGTACCAATGACTTGCTGCCCAGCAAATACCCTCTGAATTTTTCGGCCATGGCCCACTTCAAAGCCAAAAGTTCTAATTTAAGGGCACTATAGTTTTTCATATTTTTTTCATTTACGCGGAGTGACCGGCTGGCGAAGGCTATTACCTTCACCCCATCCGCGTGTTTCTGGCTTAGGACTGCCCCCAAACCGTAGCTGCTGGCATCTGTCTCCAGAATAAAGGGTAGGGTAAAGTCAGGGTAACCCAGAACAGGCGTGGTGGTCAAGGCCGTCTTAAGCCGGGTAAAGGCTGACTGTTGTTCTGGGCCCCACAGGTTGGTTATGTCCTGCCGTTTGTTTCGCTTGCCGAATTGTTCATGAGTATTGTTGACCACTTGGTGAAGGGGCTGTGCTATGTTGGCAAAACCCTTAACAAATCTTCGGTAGTAGCTGGCAAGGCCCAAGAAGGAACGGAGTTCTTTTAGGGTCTTTGGGGGCTGCCACTCGCTGATTGCTGTAATTTTCCCTGGGTCAGTCTTCACACCATCCTTGGACACCACATGTCCCAGGCAGTGCACGCTCTCCGCCCCAAACACACATTTCTCAGGGTTAGTTTGAGGCCGATATCTCTCAGTCGTTCGAGTATCGTGCGCAGGTTGGCCAGGTGTGAGGTGAAGTCTGGGGCATATATCAAGATGTCATCCAGATAGGCCAGCATGATTCTCATGATGTGCTCACTCATCACCCCCTGCATCAATCTGGAAAAGGTCTGGACTGCACCACATAGGCCAAATGGCATTCTGGTCCACTGGTACAGACCAAAGGGAGTAACAAAGGCAGTCTTTTCCTGGTCTTCTTCAGCCATGGCAACCTGGTGGTAGCCACTGGCTAAGTCCAGCGTGGAGAAGAAAGTTGACCCCGCCAGGGCATCCAAAGTTTCGTCAATTCTGGGCAGCGGGAACGCATCTTTCCGGGTTATGCCATTCAGCCTCCTGTAATCGCAACATAACCGGATCTCGCCATTCTTCTTCTTCACAATGACCATTGAAGCTGCATAGGGGCTGGTGCTGGGTTGGATAATGCCCCTGGTAGTCAACTTTTCTATGTGTTCTTTAACTGCAGCGAACTCTGTAGGCGGAAGCCGGCGGTAGGGTAACGCCACTGGTATGTCACTGGTTAGTGGGATGCTGTGTTTGATTTTGTCCGTAAAACCCAACTGATCGTCTGTCCAAGCAAAAACGTCTGTGAACTCCTGGAGTAATTTCTCCAGAGACGCCCGCTGTGGTGGGTATAGGGTTTCTGCCATCATGCTGGAAAACGAAGGCTCTGGCATGGAAGTGTGGGTCTTGCTGGACAGGGATGAGTCTATGACCACCTCAGCAGCCACAGAGTTGAACCTATTAAGCCTAGAAGGATAGATTTTAAGGTGTCCCCCCCCCCCTAGCAGGGCTTACATATAGACATGTACATTGTCATGTTAAAAAATAATTTTCCTACACATATTCATTTAGGCCTACGTATAGGCCTACATATGATTGTAGAAAAAAAAGTCACAGAAAAAAAACACAAGGAAAAAATATCAGAAAAAAAGTCACAGGAAAAAAGTCACAAATGTATATTTGCATGGAATATGTTAATACTTTTATGTATTAAATATTTCCGAGAGTGTAAATTAACTTTCGATTAATTAAATATAATTTAGATTGTATGTCGTATAAATTAATATGTATAAAACACGAAAAAAAATATTTAGTTTGAAGTATGTAGGTTGTAATTATGTTAAACATAATATAATTTAATAGTGTGTTCCAACGTTCTCGATTTTCATCGTGTTCTTTTAAATACTAACTTTAAATTAGCATGAAATGGCATAAAGACACAGTTCATCAGACTTGCTGCACTCAACTCATCGCAATAATAGTTATGATTATTTCAACCACCTTTACATAATAAAGCATAGGATAAAAACAGAAAGCCGTCACGATACAGAGGCATTGACGCAAAACATCAACAACACACAATGTGGTCGGACAAGGCCGACTGAGGAGAAGCCGACTAGAGAATGGCCTAAGACAAAATACAGGCAAAACGCAATGATGTGTCTAAATTTCTTTTGTAATTATGTTTTTCTCTCGCATATTTAACTAAATACGTAACAAAATTTGAGATTGTTTTGTAAATTATTTGGTGTATTTTTAACTATAATGCTTTGAAAGTTGATAAATATGCTACAAAAAACAAACAAATCCCACAACAATAAACATCCAAAATTTTACGATTCTTAACAATAAAATTGAAATATTTCTTAAAAGATTTCTGTGACTTTTTTCCTAACAATAACTGTGACTTATTTTCTGTGCTTTCTTTTCCTGTGACTTTTTTCCCGTTCACCATACATATACACAAACGCATACACATGAAGACGATCACTGTGTGCTTATTTCATTTGGAGTGGAACAACTGATAGTTTTATAGCATTAAAGAATTAAAACTTTCTACTGAGTTAACTTAAATATTGTGAACTAAAAACATTTTCAATGCAAAGGCTAATTGCATTTCTGACTTTAAAAAAAAATACCATGATTGACTCCAGCATCAAAAGTGGCTGTTAAGTACCATCATCTCAAAAGTCATTATCATTTCGGCACTGAATTAACTTGCTGACTATATGCAAAATATATGGGGATGGATCAATACTTTTGTATTTTTTTTTACCTTTCGTTTACCTTAGTCCCTACCTATTTCGCAACAAAGAGATAACCCCTCAACCCCAAAATCACGAGTCTAAGTTTCACTAAGTTGCTTTAAATAGCAGAAATGCTTTTGAACACATATTTAAAATTTATTTGCTCTTAAATAATATAAAAGAAATGCTACCTTATATTCCATTATTCCGACAGGCAACCACCTTGCAATGCCTTGCCACAGGAGTCTTAACCAGCCAATTCCCTTGTTTTGTAACACCAATTATGGACAATGTATTTTATTTCATTTAAATTGACCTAATACATCCAGCTAACGATCCACCATTTTTATTTCAGTTGAACTGACATAATCTAGCTAATGACCCACTAATTTTTTTCAGTTAAAGTGACCTAATATCTTAATTTAAAAACGTCACTTTGCGTTGTTACGCATGACAAAAACTTAACCGTTTAATTGCCGTTTGTTTTGTGTAATTACCTAAAACAAGACCAGAACAAAAACATATTCTGCGTTATCTACGTAAGCTGCATCTGTCTTGTAATACTGCAGTTCTCCTGACTTGTGCATGCCTTATATATTTATGTGTGTTCCACCTGTTTAAAGTTTTGTTATAATGGAAGAGGATCGCTTTCGAATAAATGGAGAAAGTTCAGAAGAAGTCAAGTTCTTAACCAAGGCGTCAGTGCCCGGCATCACACAGGAGGATGACTCCCTGCCAAATATGGAGTCATCAGAGAGGAAGTCGCTGACGGGGTTTAAGACGGCGCCTGGGGGTCTGGACAGTGTCCTGCCGGAGATTGGTAGCCCCGGACGGTTTATTGTGCTACAGCTGGTCATTCACTTTAGCACGTGCTACGCTCTGAGTGGGGCAGTACTCATCTACGTCTTCATAGGTCAGTTGTCATATTTTCATTGGTCAGTTGTCAGGCGTTTTTAGTTCAAGTTGCTGTCAAGTGTTCTTAGGTCTGTCGTCAGGTGTTAGTGGGTCAATTGTTAATTAAGAATGTCAGTTGTAATATACGTTTGCATAGGTAAAGAATCTTTTTGGTTTTTACTTAAAACTTTGTATCTTTAAAGGTACGTTTTGAACTACGTGTCTTGTAATTTAACACAAAGTGTAACAAAAGATGGCAACGTTTTGTTGAAGGTTACGAGCCGCCTCACACATGCAGTCACGTGACGAACGTAACATCTCTGTTGTCCAGCGTCGGCCTGGACAACACCTCGGACATTGAGATCATCTACGGCAAGTGCGTCATCCAGCTCGTGCAAAACGTCAGCGGCGTCATCAAGTCAGTGGCGGAGCTGGGCTGCGTCGCGGGGAACGATTTCAAGGGCGGCAAACATGTGTCGTTTATCGCGGAGGTAAGTCAATAGACAAACTATTTTACAAAATGATAACATGGCTATATCTAGAATATATTGTATCTTCAAGTGGGATATTATTTTATCATTGAGTTGTATCTTTCAGTGGGATATGGTATGTAACATTGTGAGAAGTATCTTTCAGTGGGATATGGTATGTACATTTGTGAATTGTATCTTTCAGTGGGATATGGTATGTAACAATATTGGCCTCGGAGAATTGGCACAGACAATTCTAATGATTGGGCAAACCGTTGGTGCAGTTTTCTTTACATCTTTGGGTAAGGATGTTTTCATTTTTATCATGTAAGTCATAAAACGCATGTTATTGAATGTTATACATTTATTTTTTTCATTTATTGCTTTGGTTCACATCTCTCTGTAAATCACATTCTACACCTCCATGTGTTGACAGCCGATAGATTTGGTCGTAAAATTGTGTGCATGGTCTGCAATGCGCTGATCATCGCGTCTGGGATTGGAGTCGCCTACAGTCCAAACATCTTCGTGTTACTTGTATTCAGATTTTTCGTTGGCTTCTTTCAACAGGTAATGCGAAAACTGTAGAAAGACCAATATGTAAAGAGCTATGCAAAGAACTTATATATTTATAGGATATATATAAATATATATATATATATATATATATATATATATATATATATATATATATATATATATATATATATATATAGGTTTGTGTGGTGTGTGTCTGTGAGTCGTTGATAGATACTAAATTTATATTCCAAATTTTGGAGTAGTGCTAAGCCTCGTTCCAACCACACGCACAACACTCCAATAGATTCTTATGGTATGTGAAACATCATTTTTACTCAGAGGCTTGGTGACCAAATGTTGCCCTGTGCGCTGACCAAGCTGTGTGTCATAGCTTTATGATATAATTCTGAAACATTTGTTTTACTTTGCACCTTTAGGGCATGGGATGTGTTGGCTATACAATGATTGTGGAGCTCCTAACGCCGAGGTTTCGCAAAAATATCGGAGTGCTTGGTGGGTTTAACTGGACCATCAGTGTTTTAACACTGGGGTTAGTGGCGTACCTCATGCAAGACTACAGCTGGAGAATGCTGCAGCTTGTGGTGGCGTTGTTTTCATGTAGTGTCCTCCTGTTCCCATTGTAAGTAGCTGGCTGTGGGATAGTTTTATGTAATTACAGCTGGGTGTCGTTCTGTACCCATTGTAAGTCGGTGGATTTGGGACAGTTTAATGTAATTAAAGCTATGTGTCGTTCTGTACTTATTTTATGTCATTGAGTGTTGTGTACTTTAAAGTAATTAAAGCGATGAGTATGTGGTGTTGTTTTTTTAAGAGCTCAATGCAATTGTAGGCTACATAATCATAACAATAAATAATAATTTAAAAAACACGCTAAAAATGTGTTCTTTATTGCGCAACTACATTTGAGAAAAATGAAATTTAAAATTTTATTAAAAATGGTAAACAGCTGTCTTTAAAAAAGATATTTCTATTTGGTTTTTTTTAAATTAGGAGTTAATTGTATTTAACTAAAACGAAATACGTTACATTAATTTGAGTGATTGTACGAAACTTCACAAACTAGCAATAAAATCCAATTAGTAATTTTCTAACATTTTCTGTCTATCCACTGACAGCTTCATCTGGGAGTCTCCCCGCTGGCTTGTAGCAAACAAAAAATACAACGAAGCTCTAAAGTTTTTGGAGAAAGCTTGTGTTATGAGTGGCAAGGACTTTGAACGTGTGAAAGAAAGTTTTCAGTATCACGTGGTGCAACACGAACAAGAAGTGCACATAAAACAGGAGATGCATCTAGAGCAAGAGATATGCATTAAAAAGGACATGGATCTAGAGCGCGAGATATGCATTAAACAGGAGAAAGGCATCAACCAACTTGATGACACCACGGTATATTTTATTATCTGACGTTTTGCTGGCATGTTTTACTGTTTATAGATTCTTATTACTTAAAGGCGGTAAGTGTATTATTTAAATTGTCAACTCCAGTTTCTTTGTTTCTTGTAGGCCGACGAGACATCTAAGGTTGTCAAGTACAACATCACAGACATTCTGCGTCATAAAACTTTGCTTGTCACATCTCTTGTCATTTGGTTTGCATGGTGAGTAAATGGTGTGACGTAGGAATTAAGATTCGCAGCAACGTCATTAGTTTTTTTTTGTCAAATTGAATCTGGTAACAACATTATTATTTTTCGGTCTAGATAACGTATTTAAATAAATGTTGTCAATTGTGAGTTAAATGTGTGGGCCACCACAGTTTCAGTAATTATCTTTTACCCTCAGGATTACCAACACAATCACATATTATGGTCTGTTTTTAACCTCTTCGTCATTAGTTGGAAACAGATACGTAAACTTTATCCTAATGGGATTGGTGGATATACCTGGTGACATATCCAACTTATTTCTGCTCCACTTGTAAGTAATCTTCAACATGCCTCATATTTTTTAAAATTATTATTTCTATGGGCTTTTTAGGATGTTTATCTTTTAAAAGTGTTAAACGTTCTTGCGTTACAGTTCGGTTATGACATCTGTATTTTCATATATTTTTTCTCTTCTATGTCAGCTTCGGCAGAAAGACAGTGATCATGGGTCTGATGACAGTAGCAGGCACTAGTCTGCTGACCTCTACTCTATTAGTCGCTCTAGGTACTGGCCATCTCATAGGTCTTTGGTGGACCTAGTGCATTTGGTTTTATCGTAGGCTTAAAGATAGATTTTTTTTGTAAATTTGTTGATGTTATTTTATACAGGCTAATCAATAAATCCTTTGTAGAGCTAGTGATGTAGTTTTTTTTTAGATAGGCTAAGCTATACTTTTTTCTGTAGCTGAGATGAAATAGTGTTAGGTCTGTATGAAGCTTGTATTACTATTGTAAGGTCAGCTCAGCTCAATGCACACAATTTAGGGATAACAAATAACAACAAAACTCACATCACTACTATAATAAATAACCTTCCATTCAAACATTATTTAGGCACCTCAAATACAGCAATTATAATGTCGACTGTGTTTTCCTTTATTGGCAAATTTGGAATTGGGGCGTCTTTCAACACGCTTTTTCTGTACACACCAGAACTGTTCCCTACTAATTTAAGGTATGTTTATAGTTACTTATAATAATATATTTGATCAATGCTGGTGTACCAATAAGTGTTGCATTAATTATTTCATTCTTTTAAAATTTAAAAAAATATAAATACATAAGTTATATATATATATATATATATATATATATATATATATATATATATATATATATATATATATATATATATATAATTTTTTTATATTCCTGTGATATAAATATGTGTTAAATTGCATAACTGTGGCAAATTTAAACATAGATATTTATTGTAGGTCTATTAGATTAGATTGCAAAGAAATGTATTACCCACTTTTTAATGTATGGGCCACAGGTCAGCTGGACTTGGTATCTGCTCAAGTGTATCAAGACTTGGTGGAATGCTGGTGCCTTACTCTAACCTTTTGGTGAGTAAAATCTTGGCTGGTATCTTACTTTTAACTCATATACAGAACCTTTGTTTCTTTTTTTAAAATTAAGATTTAGGAGCTCAGTCCAAATTTCCTTTTCTTTCCTCGCCATAAATTTGGGAAATGTTTGATAGTCTTATACCGACATGTTCAAATCAGTTGCATTTTCTATTGCATTTAATATGATTTTATCTAGCAAGCCTTGTTACTTAGATTTACTTCTTAATAGAAAAAAATGTAAACATCTTTATTGTTTTTCTTTCTTCAGGCAGACATGGCTCTCTGGGCACCAGGAACTATATTTTCAGCGATGTGCTTTATATCTGTAGTGATGTTTATCCGACTTCCTGAAACAAGGGGCAGACCACTACCAAACACAATTGCAGAGATGAAACAGTGGTGGTCATAAAATGTTACATTAACTATATCAAAATAAAGAACTTTGTAAAATGAGCTTTGTGTTGCTGATTAAGTGACAATCATATAGACTTTTTATAACTTATGTAGGTCCTAATGAAATTATATAGAAAATAAGGTTATAATCGCTGCATGTGGATTACGCTGGGAATTTTATCTCCGGTTAGGACGTGTACGACACTTACAATAAACGCGATTTGTGCTAGCATTTTCAAACTTAAGTATATAAAGATCTAGCTCCCCCCCCCTTCTATTTTACATATGATTTCCTGCAGACAGTTTTGGCCTTGACTATTTCTTCTTTCACTACACTATTAACTGCCTTTCTGGGGATGTGCCATATCCCTTCCCATTTCTTGGTTCCTACTCCACTGATGCTTGTCTGCATATATTACATAGGCGTAGATTAGAAATTGTGTCGGTCCTAAGCACTTACTTTATTATACTAGACCTGTTTATGAATCCCTAAATATAGTTTGCTGGTGTCTGTTTGTCTCTGGGGTATGCAGTAAAACAAAAAGGCTGGTTAAAGATCACAACGCAAAGGTCTGTATAAGCTCAAGGTAACCGCACTAGGTGTTGAGGGTCAGATGACAGTGAACACTAGCAGACTAGCAACTGATCTCAATGCAACTTAGTGGCTGAGCTTAAGGACTTCAGCAAGGGAACTGGTAAATTGGACACACGCGAATTTGTGTGTGACTAGTATACTCTGTTCACCATCTGGAAACCGATCTCAAGGCCATCTAGCTACTGAGCCTATGACTCACAAGGACATTGTTAAACTGGCCAAACACTGTATTGCGTTTGGCGTTAGTTAACACTTGTCACAAGATTGTACAAAATCTCAAGGTAACTACCTGCCGAGCTCAGGACATCAGCATAGCTCTGGAAAACAAATAACCGCACAATATGTTGACGGGTTCATGTTACACTGGCTATCTATGGCCACAAGCTGGAAACCGATCTCAAGGCAACTTAGTGGCCGAGCTCAAGGACTTCAGCAAGTGAACTGGTAAATTGGACACACACGAGTTTGTGTGTGACTAGTACACTCTGTCCACCATCTGGAAACCGATCTCAAGGCCATCTAGCTACTGAGCCTATGACTCACAAGGACATTGTTAAACTGGCCAAACACTGGCGTTAGTTAACACTTGTCACAAGATTGTACACAATCTCAAGGTAACTACCTGCCGAGCTCAGGACATCAGCATAGCTCTGGAAAACAAATAACCGTTGACGGGTTCATGTTACACTGGCTATCTATGGCCACACGCCGGAAACCGATCTCAAGGCAACTTATTGGCCGAGCTCAAGGACTTCAGCAAGTGAACTGGTAAATCGGACACACACGGTTTTGTGTGTGACTAGTACACTCTGTCCACAGCTGGCAAACGATCAAGCCAACTTATTGGTCGACCTAAAGGAAGGGGAGGTATTAAATCTGAATGGACTTCCAAGAGAGCGCTGCACTATTTTTGTAGTTACCGTAGCGACGTTCCGGTATAAGCTAGTCTATAAGCGGGGATCTATAATCTATAAAAAAAAGCCGCCAGTGTCGTTTCGCACTTTTACGTACTTCCATCCTTCCAAAAGTCAGTCATCGGTATAGCCACTTTGTCTTCGTTTTTTTAAGCTGGAGAATGTGGTCATCCATGTGGAAGACTCTCCCTGAGCGCGGACTCCCGGGTAAACGTGTTGTTTGGTGGCTTTTTTAATTACGCTGCGGGTTTGGGGGAGGAGGGATATGTGCCGACGTCCGTGACAGCGTTGGTTAATTTTATTTTTACCGTTGCATAATTTTTGTGAATATCTATATCCACACCAAAATGCTACCGCCACCCGCGCGCAGCGCGGTGCGCTAAGGGAACCCCACCCGAGCGCAGCGCAGAGCTTTAAGGCAATATCCATATCCACACCAATTCGACGCATACACAAGGGGCGTGCTACAACCACCAGATCTAATACAGTAGCGAATAAGCAGGAGGGATATCTGGGTGGATGTTTGTTAGATCGTTGCGCCATTTTATTTTTACCGTAGCTTACATTTCGTGAATATCCATATACACTCCTTGGTGCTACCGCCACCCACGCTCAGCGCAGTGGGTTGAAGGAATATACGCCCCAATGTAGGCTATGTAGGGACGCCCACCCGCGCGCATTGCTCTGAGGTAATATCCATATCCACACCGTACCGAAACACGGGCATAAGCTTGTCTATAATATAAGCCGTCAGTATCGTTTCGCACTTTCTCGCACTTCCGTCATACCGTCATCGGTATGGACACTTTGTCTTCGTTTTTAGATCTGGGAGAGTGTAATCGTGCGTGAGGGGGGTTTTCCCTGAGCGCGGAGGCTCGAGGAAACGTGTTGTTCATCTATAGCCACTACATCTTCGTTGTAGGGCACGAACGCGTTGTTTATCATGCGTGGGAAGAGCGAAGGCCCTCTCTGGGTACGGACGATCGGGCGCGACTTTAGGTCCCTCCTTCCGTCATCTGTATCGCCACTTGGTTGGTCGTGCCTTAGGCGCAGACGACAGCGAAAACATGTTGTTCTTTGGCAGTTTACATTACACCACGGGGAGTATGCATGGTCGTTGAGTCTGGACCTAAGAAAATATTTTGAAGAAATCTGTCCTTTAGAAGTAGTATTTGTTCAGAAATAGGAAATAGCATTTAGTAATAATTTTGTTCCCCGAAAATCACTCGAAATGTGAGAGAATCAAGTTATCGGGATTTAAAAAAACAGGAAGAATAAGATCTTATACTTACATATAAAATTTCGTCTACCTAATTTTAACAGCATTCAAGTTATACTCTTTACACGAAAATAGAGCAAAGTACCGCTTACGGTTACCGGAAATTGCTCGAAATTTGAAAGAACCATGCGCAGTTAATGTCATACTTTTCTGATTCAGTGAGGTGTAAACCGTCAAGATTTGTCAATATCACGATTTAAATTTTTGCACAATTACAATCAGTGTTTCTTCCAGACCTTTTTCTATATAAATTATATAAATTTCATTTCGTTCCGGGGGGCGGTAGAAATTTTTCGGGGGGGGGGGGGGGGGGGCTTCGCTTCCCCGAAGAGATGCCTTTAAGAAACTCTGATTACAATGCTTCTTCTATAGGCCTATTTCGTATATTAGAAAGTAAAAGTAAAAAAAACAACAACAACAACAACCGTGTAACTCGTCTTGGTAAACGCAAAATGTTCAGCAGCTTTATTGTTTTTGTTGGTTGATTCCCTGTAAACACAAAATGTTCAGCAGCTTTATTGTTTATCTTTACTCAGAGATAGCTGTCCGGAAGTATATTTTCAGCAATGTGTTTTATGCTATCTGTAGTGATGTTTATCAGACTTTCTGAAACCATTAGCAGACCACTACCAAACACAACTGCAGAGATAAAACAGCATTGTCATAAAAATTTACATAGCTATTTTAAAATAAAGAACTTTGGAAAAAGAGTCGCTTGTTATTGGATATCTTCATTGCTAAAATAGGAAAATGTATAGATATTTCCGGAATGAAAACTGGGAAAATAAGAATAAAATTAAAAAACCAATACTCTTAAAAGCTTAAATGTATTTTACTATTATGGAATATACAAAATAGATTTTATATACATTACTATCATAAATATTTTACATTACTACTGAATAACTACAATACAATAAGAACAAATGTAAAAATTAAAAATAGTCAAATACAGATAAATAGCGTTTATTTAAAATGTTTTGTATGAACATAAGGTTTGCGAAGTTTTAGAACTTCTCGTGTTTTATAATAATTTAACACATTTAATAAAAGTGTGTTTGTAAAGAACAATTTTCTTCCAGTAATAAAATCAGATAATATAAGTATGGTTTTTAAAAAATGAATTTGTAAAATGTTATATACAATTTCACCATAAATGGCTTTTCAGAAATCAAAACTGCAGATGTCACTTTAAATGTGAAAAAATAGCAGGCCTACCAACATATTGTGTATGTATATATAAATGTAAGTACATATAAATATAAACTAAAAAGTTAAAATCAAATCCCTGATTGAAATGCAAGAAAATATGTTGTTTACCTATTTAACAATTTTAAAATTATTTAACTAATTTACCAAAGTAAGCCAACTAGATGGTATGTGGTATCAGTTCTTTCTTGTAGGCTTACTTAAGTTTAAGGAATATTAATAACTGGCCAGACAACATGTTAACTACCACAAGTGACATGTAACCTAAAGGACACTGGCTACAACATGAACTTCTTGCTTGACTGATTGGTGTGTATTAATATAATCATGTGCAACTTACAGGACACTTTGCTGTACATTTTAACATAATTCCCTGTTGTATCAAAAGTTTAACAACATTATTTTACTATAGGCCTTATTTTAAGCCAACTATTAAAATATATTTATATATACTACTTTTAAATGAAGCTGTACACTGCAAAGATAGATAATTCTAATTGAATTTTGGCCATCCATAACACATCACATAATTTTCAATAAAAGAAAGACATTACAAATGTTTAGAATATTCTCTGATCAGTACTTTACATATTCAACAATTCATAGAGAGTGCATATTCATTATCATACTGATCAAACGAAGATCAAATTAAAAGACAAATTCCAATCAAGTTTGTTCATTAATCATATGTAGGTCTGAAACCGCTAGCGCCACCTCTTGCACCACTAGCGCCCCCACTAGCACCACTAGGACCTGGGTATTTGCCTCCCTTTATCTGCACCAGCTGGTTGTTGCCTGTGACTGCATTTGGTGGAATGGCATCAAACTGCTTGAGCTCCAGGTAGCGACTGTCATCCTGATCATTACCAGATAAAGCAATGTTGCGCAGGTCTGGCATCTCAGCAAAGGGAAGCCAGTCTGTTCCTACATTAATTAAAAAGAATAGAATTAATATTTCTATATTGATTATTACTGTTACTGTAAATATTTTCTATTCTGGTTTTAGAGGTCTTTTTTTTTAAAAAATGCCACCATGCAAATGTCTGTGGATTATTAAAATATTTGTACTCGATTTAATATTCAACAGCGTTAATAATTTTACAGACTAAATATTAGCTAATTAATTAAAGATTGCATAATTAATGGAATAGGACTGACCCACAGGCAAGCCCTGCTCTCTCCGAGATTGCTCAGAATCAAAAAATGTCTGATGATCTTCCCAGTGTCTATCACAGGCAGCGCACAAAAAGTCTGAGTAAAATCCTCCACAAGGACAGCCTGAGATGAAAGGATTACCTTCAAACATGTAGATCTATTACATATTTTTAAAATATTTTATTACCTATGTATAAGTATACATCATAACATAACAGACAAAAAGGAAATGTTGTTATATGTTAACTGAAAAGTTGTGATAACCAACATAATCAAAGCATAATGAACTTACCACTTATAACAGTAATCACTTAAATAAAAGCAAGGCACTCATAACATTATATAATCATACAATGAAAAAGAGTAGGCCTAAATATTGAAAATTTTAAAAATTTACAAAAGTTAAAAATTACTTTTGTTTTACAATGAGGCCCTCTAAGCTCATGAAAGGAAATTTCACCGAAATCTACAACTTAACTCCAGATAAAATTACCTTTTGTCTTACAACGATGAGGCCTACTAGGCTCATGAAAGTTGTGTGTGTGTTTACATTTACATTTGGCTCTCCATGCAGCTGCATCAAATCCTGGCCTCTTCGGCAACCAAAACTCCCCAATATCCTCAGGCCTATTGGGTACCCACAAGTAAGCTTTGCAAGTGCATCCTGGAACTCTACAAGGCACTTTGACACTCAAAGCTGTGAAGATAAAGTTCCAGTAAAGTTTGGATGAAAATGTTAACAACAATAAATTTTTGTTCTCTTAATTACCAGGACTGTAAATTAAAATATTAAAACATTTTCCTGTTGGTTCTAATATTAAAACATTTAAGCTTTATTTACTTTAATACTTGACAATTAATAATAGTGTAAAACTTCTGTAAAACTGTTATTATATGAATAAAAACTATTAATTCAATAGTTTAAATTACAATAGAATGAATAATGCTTTTATTTAAAATTGCCATTCAAAGACTGCAACTCTAAAATAAGAATTTAAATTACCATTGAAAGACGCATGCTCCGAGAGTGTGTGGTCACAAAAACACCTGGATGTGTAAAATATACGTTGACAATCATGCTGAAACTCTGGGCATCTCCATCCAATATAAATTCCTAAAATATCAATTTCAACTTGTTATTTTAATAATATTTTTATGTTCATTGCATAACTGCTAAAAAAAAATTTTAATTCTTAATCAGTGTTTTCAGTTCTTGTAAACTATTTTACACGTATAAAAAGAATAATCTTACAAGGTTTTTTAAATGTTATATAATGCAAGTATTAAAATACTATTTAAATGATTAACCTATTACTACAAGAAATCTTTTTTTAATGCACATTAAAAATTTTCTTCTATTACCTGTTTTCTGCGCTTCTATTGCTGCAACAGTTTCAGTGTCAAAAAGTTCCTTCAATTTGGGAGCAAAATCATCATTCATTGCTTTAGCCATAGAAACAACATCATACTTTTCAGCAGGTTTGATCACTCTCATCTTGTATCCTATCAAAACAAAAACAACAGCTTGAAAAAATGCTTTATATACTATTTCTTTTAAAAACAACATTTAACTAAGATGTTAAAGAAACATTTTAAATACACCTGTGATTATGAGTAGCCAACAAATGTAATACATTTTCTTATTATGCTTAACAATTTCTTTTGTGATCATGAAACATTTTCATTAAAATGTGTATACAGCTATAAAAAATATTATTAAAACCCATCTGTAAACATCACTGGCCCACCTTCAGGGACATACATTCCATTAACTTTCTTAATAGGGAGTTGAGAATTTTGTAGCTTCTGCATCATTGATTGTTGACCTTTGGTGGACACAGCTTGACTTTGACCTTGACTTGGCTTGGACTTTACATAGAGTAAATAATTAATTAAGGTTTGCACCAACTTCTTCTGGGTAAATTCAGTTATACTACAATTCACAATTTATAAGAGCATCTGTTGACCTAGATCATATTAAATAACTATTGGTGTTTCTATAAAACCACAATCATTTAAATTTTCAAATGTTCAGAGCTAAATGTTGGAAAAAATCTCAAGTTTTCTAGAAAAACAAACCTTCCCCTTGATCTGTAAAGCTTCATTTTGACCAGAAGCTGAAGAGTGAGCTTTCTGTTCTGAAGATGTGCTCGCCTTTCTTGAAGTCCCTGTCTTGAATTATAAAAACACAATAAATTCAAACCTCCTTCTTCTTCTTTTTTCTTAATTGAATGGTATTTCCTCCAACACAATTAAGTATTACATGTCAACATGTTATACACCTTATGTTTGCTTTTGGGGTTTTCTCTCCCAGATAGTGAACCTCATCTACCCAGGATTCAAATTTGGGACTTCTGGAGTAAGTAATCACATGCTCTCCTGAGCTATCATGTTGTCCCCAACTTAGACCAATAAGTGGTTTTTACATAGTTAGTATGGCCTATATAAAATAATAATGCAAACGTGCTTGGGATCTCAAAGCCTAATACATTTTTTTCATAATAATCAAGAAAAAATAATCTTTTACTGGAAACTCCTAATCCTAATTATAAATGTTTTTTAAGTGACCGGTGCCAAAAGCATACAATTACCATCTATTGAAGAAGGCTGTTTTATGCTTTTTACTGTAAGACTATTCTTTTAGCACAAAATTTATGCTGGAATATTCTACTATTTAAAGGTTAAACAAATGTAGCTTATACTGGTATTAATATTACTATACTAGGATATTACCAAAAATACTCTTTATATTTATTTTGTTTAGATTCTCTGTAAAAATATTTTATAAAATAAAAAACAGGAAATCACTGCAGGTGTTCATTGGTTTAGTACATCCATAAACAATGTCAATTTTTAAAAGGATTTTATCCCCTCCCCTGCCATTGTCATCCCCCCCCCCCCCCCACCAAATAACATCACACATCAACTACAAGTTCCTTGAAACTGCAATTTTGTTTTTTTAAAACAGCTTTTTCTTTTTTCTAAAGTATTTACTGAGCTCAGTCAACACTAAGTAGGCCCTACATTCAACAGCTGTTATTGCAATTTACCATAATAATCTTTTAAAAATACAAAACAGTGGCTTAAATTCAGTTTCTGTCATTATTTATAAAAATTGCCTAAATGTGTCATCAAACTTTCTGAACTCCCTCCTCTTCTATTGTCACACTTTGTCATAAAAGTCCAAACACCCCACCTCCTGTAGGAATGTGATATCTTTTATGGACCACTCCTATGTTATAAATTATATTAGTAATCTACGTGAATTATAAAACATTTTAATAGCCCTAAACATTATAAATAAAAATATTTAATCTATAGCCTAGGCCGTATTTATATTAAAATATTCTTATTATTATTATTACATAGCACTCCTAGTGTGGATGGAGGGTTTCATAATTTTGTGAATGGGTGTGTGTGGGGGAGGGGGATGTTCATACTTTGCATTTTAAAAAAGTAATGTTAGAAACTGAATTTTAGTTGTTATTTTGCATTTTAGACACCTGTTTTTATAAATTGATTAATATACTCTATGTTGGCCGAGCACAGTCAATATTTTAAAAAGAAATCGATGTTTAAAAACATTAAATTGCTTAATTTTAAGTGTGATTGTAGGCTGTGTTACTTCATTTTAGGGGGTGGTCTCACTTTTTGTGATAGCATATGTGATGAAGGGGGAGGGGTGAAGGTAAAATCATTTTAAAAAGTACTGTAACCCATTAATTATTGTGATTATTATGCAGAATAATAGTAGGCCTATTATTTTTATTGTTATTGAGCCAATTATTTATTTCATATAAATAAATACTATTAAATAATAAATAAATAATCAACATTAACAATTCACAACAAAAAGAAACATGTTTTATTTAAAAGTTTTAAACACACTGACATCACATTGATTTTAGGATTAGAAATAATCATACTCATGCAAAATTACTAAATTAGCCTACAACCTAATAAAAACTATATAAAATAATGGACAAACAACACATTAATTTCTGTAAATTTCATGTAATATTAATAAAGAAGAAGTAGATATCTAGAGATTATCACTTTCTTTTTAGATATAATCCAAAATAATGTACTCTACTACGGTGACAGTCTAGGGCGTGGCCATAATTTTAAAAAATTTTAAACGGTGATTGTGATGTACGATTTTTGAAACAGTTTCATTATTTTTACAGTTACTAGCTGGCCTGGTGAAGATTGTTCGTCGAAAATGGTTTAAGTTAAACCTGATATACAATTTCAGCTATGTTACCTGTTTAGAAGCTGGTCCTTCCTTTCCAGTAGGACTTTTTTTCATTTTCGATTGTTGTTTACAAGTACTCTAGTTAAATGATTCATTCATGCGGCCATTTATAAACAATGAATGTCGCTAAGCTTATTACCAAATTTAGTTTCGAACTATTATTTCTTTTTCTATTTTTTTTTAATGGAAAACAATGTAGATTGTAGAGTCTAACCAAACTTAAATATTGCCACTGAGCGCAGCATGATTTTACGATTAACTATAGATTTAGAATCTAAATGTATATAAATCCCACTACAATATATAGACTATTATAGATAGTAATAGATAGCCATAGGCCTTAAGTCTTCACAAAAAACCCTCTAAAATAATTATAATCATAAGACATCACAAAGTACCTCTTCCCTGCCCAAAATTGAAATATAATATAATTCATACTTGTTATGAAATTTAGACCTAAATTTTTTTCCATCAGTTCTGTTCTAAAGAACTCTGAAATAACTGCTACATCATATTTCTTGATTCCCCCTCCCCCATATTGTCACTATTTGTGTTTATGTTATGAGTGTTATGTTTGTTTTTTCTTTTGTGTTTTTTTTGCATTTGTGTGTGCATTGTGTTTTCATTTAGATCTATGTTTTTATTTGCGTTTATTTTTTCTTTTGTGTTTATGTTGTATTTGTGTTTTCTTTTGTGTTTGTGTTGTGTTTTCTTTTGTGTTGTGTTTAGTTTTGTTCTGTTCCCAAGTTGGTACATTTAAAAAGATTTACCATGGCGGAGGACGGGTATACAGCTAGTATATATATATATATATATATATATATATATATATATATATATATATATATATATATATATATATATATATATGGGCCTATTTATGATCCTGAAATAAAAAAAAAATCACTATAACACTGAATCTAACCATTGGTATAGAAGAAAAGCCAGCTCCATTATGTATTATGAACCTTAGTATTCTTATGGTAAAATCTTTGAGATCTTAATTTTGTATTTTTAATATAACCAAGGAATAATCTGTGTAAAGTATCATTAGTAATCTGATTTCAAGTAAATGTCTATTTGTAGGCAGGTGAGTCATGTAGAAATAGTTTCTTGTTGCTCAGGCATTCATTCATATGGACACAGCTTACCTAATTTGAAAATTGTAGCCAGGCTCTGAAGTCATATACAAATATTTTTATCTTGCTGAGTACTTCGCTTCTAACCAAGCTTGATATTTAAAAAAAAGGTAAACAAAAATATCTCATTATTTGATATTTATTTAACATTGCAGCCGGTTAAATAATTTTCTGATGAATGAGTAAGTTAGTATTAAAATTAAAAACAAAGATCATTAATGTTCAATTGCATTTTAATCACTGGGATTAATAACAGGTAAATTGATTTTATTGGATTTTCAAACATTTTTAAAATAAATGTATACATTTATTTTGGTGGGGCATGTCAAAGCTTTAACAAGTGTAAACATTTTAAAAATACATAGTAAAAAACCTATTTCAGAATTTTAACATCACATTTCTTAGTCTGAAGAAAAGTTTAATGTATTCTCAGAACAGTTTATATTTGTTTTTGAAAATGAGGATTAAAATATCCATGTGCCCAAAAGTAAATCTTGCGTAAGTTACAAAATTATTGGAATGTGTTTTTAAATTAGTTTAATCTAAAAAAAATGAAATAACTTAACTTAAGCATTATATAAAAGAAGAGGTTAATTTGATTTATTCATGTTTGTATTATATATTACAGTCTTACACTTACAGAATCAACAAATGCAAATTTTCAAACACAGAGAAAAAACATTTCAGAATATTACAAATATTTGCAAAGTAAGCTAAATTAGGATATGACAAATAACGGATGTATGAATAAAGCAACTTTTATTGCACATGAAATTATGAATATAAAATTTGATGAAGTAAAATCTAAAATATGGGGAGATATCATAAACATTAAGGCATAAGAAAGTAATAGAGTACAAAACATTTTACGTGTATTAAAAACTATAAAAGAATATTGTTGTAATCAATTTTATAATCAATTAAGTTAAAAGTCATCGGACAATTTAGTTTTTTCCCCTGATGTATTGTTATTCAGATCAAACAAAATAAACAAAAAAGATAAAATTAATCTTTGAAAGTAAGATGAAAATACACAGCTTTTTCTTTTGTCTAATGTAAAGAGTAACTAGATATAAGCTTCCAAATTAAGCAGAAACAAAAATGATTTATAAGATGGAGACTAGGTATCTACATATCTTTGGCCACATTTTGATTTTCCTGAAAAATTTGAAAATGTCAAGAACAACAAAACCAAAGAGTATTTTTTATTTAACTATGCTTACATATTATTTCAAACATGTATTGTTGACTTGTCTTATGTAGGTAAGTTACTGAACACATGTTTTACTCAGACTTGATTTGTGAATGATCTAGTAGTAAACTTAACATTTTCATTTATTCTATTTATAAAACATAAAAAAAAAATAAAGATCTTTGAGGATACTAAACATATATTTAACAAAATTATTTTTGCTTATTATGACACATACCATTTGCTACAAAAGCTATTCTTTTATGTGCGTTGGTGTAATATAAAGATACTTTTAACATTTCTCATGTTTTAATAATATATTGAGTTTGATGTAAAAGTATTAAATTGATACATAAATTGAAGTGGGTTTTATTACACATTTCTGATGTTAAGGCTAAAGCTATTGACACTCAAATACTGATTGCTTAGTAACAGCAAGAAATATTATTTGGGAGATTTTTCTATTAATGCTCCAAGAAGACTGTTGGCTGTGACAATAGCTGTTGTGGCTACAATTATTCTCACACCTGCAAATATATGGATGTTTAAAGTAAAAAAAATGACACATACATAAACAGGGCTCTACTGAAATTGCAAAGAAGAATCATTCAAATAATATGAGCTTACCCAGAGATTTTGCAATAAATCTAAGTGCACAAATCTCACTAAATGTGCAGCCACCAAGAAAGTAAACAAGGATAACTTTCATTGCTGGGTTTGTGACAGCTGGAGCACCTTTACCTGTCAATACAAAAAATTACATTAAATTTACAACAAAAATATCCTTAGGAGAAATTATTAATTTTAAAACAAAAAATAAATTCAAATTGAAATAACAAACTGATGAAATGATTGCCTAATGCTAGTTAGGTGAAGGGCAGTCTAGAAAGATAAGCTTTACAATAGAGAAAGATGAGCTTTACTTTAGGTGCCCAATAGATACTTCAAAGACTATTTTGTTAATTTTTTTTTTAAATTGTGAACAAAACTTCCATTGCTAATATGCAAAAACTTATTAAGTTGTAATGATTTATTAGAAATTATTTTATTTTCCATAGCACTGGCATTTTAGTAACTAACTGTGATCCATTAATAAATGAAGTCATAAAGTTAAAACAACTACACATGACCAACCTAAACTCCTGTGTTTTACTTTAATGTCAGAATGTAATCCTCCACACATTCTACCAACATCTTCAAGCCCTATTAAAGTATCTCTTGTTAAAATCTGAAATTTGATGACATTTTATTAATTATAATGAAATAAAATTGGTATTTTTCTCCAAAAAAATATATGTATAATTGTTACATTTATTTCCAGTTTAACTTAACCACTCCAAAGCTTTTAGCTAGTTTTGAAGAATAATTATACTTTATCTGAACTTTGATTTACACTTTATTTCAAACTTTAATTTCGTTTAATAAAACAATAGTGAAAAGTTAAATTTGATAAAACTAATAATATTTAAATGATCAAACATCCCATGTTTTACCTGCTCTACAATCTTACACGGTAAAGGCGTGTAAGCCCCACTAAAAATGTAAGAAACATCGCTTGGATTTTTTAGGTCCATCTCCTCTGTCAATTTAGGAACAAGGCCAAATTTGCGGTTAAAAAATTTGAAATTTGATTTTCTAGCTGCAAATTTTGTTTGTGCTGTTTCTTGTTCAGTGAGTAAACCCAGTTTTTTCAGGTTGAAAAATGTCACAGCATGTTCAAAGCCATGGCTCTAAAAAGAAAAATACAGCTAAGTAGTTTAACCTAGTCTAGTAATAGTATCACTTTCCTGTTATTTTACTCAGGGATGATTAAAAGTTCTATCAAGATCTTACATGCAAAAACTTGATATTCTATATCAAGATTTTACAAGAAGACAAAGACACTTTATATACTTTTTATCTTGATCAAACATGAGGAAATTTTGTATCTAGATTTTACATGAGGAAACTTTGTGTCAAGATCTAACAAGAGGAAACAATTTATCTAGATCTTACATGTAGAAACTGAGTTTTGAATGATTTGTAGTCCTTGATGCTGAGTCCTTCTTGCGTAAGGGACAACAGACACAGGAGTCTTAACGTAAGTATTAGGGATAGCTGGAAAATAAAACAAAAATCACATTGTAACTAAACATAATGGCCTAGTAAAATACAGCTGTTGATAAGTAGATCTAAAACTGAAATTATACTTTGAGGGATAGGTTCACTTGAACAAAAATAATAAAAGAACTATCTTGCATGCAGAAGTTGTCATATACCATCATGCTTCTTACCTGCTTGTGTATACATTCTTCAATGTAAGTCATGCTTAACCTTGTGTCTGAACCTTCCAACAAATCTAAGAGAGTTTTTAAAAGTATAAAAATGCATGCTTGCCTCTGTTTTATTCATCTATATTAGATAAAAATCTTTAACAGAACCTTTCATTACTTCATAAATATTCAGATAAATATATTTTAACCATAAAAATAACCTTGACATTAAAATTACAACACCTACAAACATTTAAAATGTCAAAATGCAGTCTTTGGTATTATTTTCGTAATTGATTAAGTTAACTTACTTTGTTCAGTTCGGATAAACTCTTCAAAATCATACTTTCCTTTTGTTTTCATTACTGTTTCACATGCACTAATATCTACAACAAAAAATTTATACCAGTATACAATCTGCAGGAAATAAATACATTTGGCTAGAAAGAAAGAAATGAAAGTTTTTTAAAAGATGTAAGTAGTTTAAGAATTCTGTTCAAATCTTTATAACAATAATTTTAGACAACTGTTTCCTACTTAGGTTAAATTGTTTGAAAAAAATTTCATATAGCATAGCCAATATTCAATTTATAGGAAATAAATATATTTGGCTTGAAACAAATATATGAAGTTTTGAAACCATAAGTAGTCTATGACTTCCATTGACATCTTTAGCTTAAATCAACTGTTTATTGCTTGAAAAGATTTCAGACTTACGTAGTTCTAAAATCTTCTGTTGGTGCTTCAGCACACGCAGCTCATTGGCAACATAATTCTTCATGTCTCCAACAGTTGCAAGACTGTCCTTCTTCTGAAAAAAAAAAATATAAAACACCTTCATAAAATCATCTTTAGTAATGCTTTACACTATAAAAATACAACACAGTTGTATCACTGCTTACACTGTACAAAGCCTGCAGCTCTTTGGCTTTTCCACTGAGATAGGCAAACACATGAGAGAAATGGCGGTCTCTTATTTGGCTGTAAATCTGAAATTATGAGTAAAGTTTTTTTTTTTTGGTGAGCACCAGTCAAAGATAAAGTTTGTTTTAGTGAAAACTAGAACAAAATATTCTAAGGAATAATTTTTAAGACCTATAAACTTTCAACACAATAACTGTTAATAACTATTTAAAATTTTCATTTTAAGTGATTCATTAAACAAATATAAAAATTAATAGTTAGGAAACTTGTTAGTCTAAGATAAACAGCCAATTATGTATTCAATGTTGAAAGGCAATACAAGAGCAAAGAGAAGCTTGTTCTTACATCATCTTTACTTGTAAGTAACAGCATAGTCTCTTTCTTATCTTTATCAGTGGTAAAGTTCATCATAGCTAGCAAATATAAGAGTAATAATTAGCAAATTCACAGAAAACAATTAAATGCTGAAACTAACATATTTAGTAACAAAAAAATAACAAAAGGGATTTTTTTTAAGCAACTAATTAATTCTGTAACATAAAATTTTAACAGCAAGTTTGGTGTAATTAAGGAATAAGAATAAATATAAAACTAACAGCATTCAATGCCAAAAGTTTCATCCAATAAAGCTTCATAGGTCATTGGAGAACAAAGAGGTGACACATAGTCAATATCTGGAAATCAAACATCAATACAACTTAGTAGGCAAATTGATAGTTCATATGCTGTTATACAAAACTTCCTAAAGTAAAACTAACAGTTTATCATAGATCTAGAAGTAAACACAATTACCTCTGTCAACAATAAAGAGTTGACCTATGTGAAATTTGGAATCTTTATGTTCTACATGGGGTTCAAACATTGTCTGCATTAAATCATACACCATCTGTCAATTCAAAGTGTCAAGTGCTATTGAAAAATGTGAAATGAAGTTCCTTAATGAACAAAACAAAACAATGTTTAGAGTTTCATTGCAATCTGCGAGTTTAGTTAATTTGGCAATTAAAACAAGAAACAACACCTAGCATTTAAAAAGCAACATTTTATTAAAAATGAAAAGAGAAGGTAATTATTTTTAACTAAGTTTTAGCAGATGTTCACACCACAGTAATTTTTTTTACAAAATCTAAGTTGCTATTTAAATGTTACCCTAGATCCTTTTCCAATAGCATAAACATTTGGAATCTTGCCAAAAAGTCTTTGAAGATTTACAAGAGATGATGATATGGTGTGTAGCCAGGTGGTGTCGTTATCCTGTCAATAGAATCATATCTATAAGAACACCCACACACATATTTAAGCAGGAAATAAAACAGTGTTATATACACTTTTTAAAAATACACAACTAACCAGGTAAAATGAAGTAAAAAACTCTGGAAATTCAAGAGAAAGCAAGTCAGTGTCTAAGGGAAACAACTCTAAAGGAAATTCGTCAAATGTTACATGCCCAAGTACACCTTCACTCTCCAATATTGACTCACAAACATGAATCTGTAGAGAATAAAAAGTTACCAAAATCATATTTCTTAATAATAAAAAAAAAACAAAAGATACTTTCAACCACTACTTACAAGATGGAATAAGGTATCATATTTTCTACTTATTAATTTTAAAACATTTAAAATTGTACAAAATATTTTTCCATTTAAAACTTCAGTCAAACTTTTTATAATTGAATTTAATAATACTTAACTTTTAAACTAATAGATTTTTATACCTTTCGTGGGACAAAAATAATTTTATATGACCTCTTATGACCTTCACTTATTTCTGTATTGATATGATCAGCAATATATTTCATTGTAAGCATTCGTGGCCGGACAAGATACAATCGTCTATAGTAAAAAAAAAAGTATTGTTAGTATAAAATACAATAGTAAAAACGAAATTTCAAAAATAATTACAAAGCCCTTTTAAAGACAATTTTTAAAAGGGCATTTATTGTCAACTGATTATTGCTAACAAATAAAATATAGCTTATTATTTTTGCTTGCTAATTTCTATTGTTAAAATATCATATTCAACTTGATATATTCAATTAAAACCTGGCATTCTTTTGTTGATATTTTTAAATGTACCTATTTTTTTTAGAAAAAACTTGAGTAGACAAAGATTACCCAAGTTCTTGAGCTACAACAGAAATGATAAAACATACTTCCCACATCCAGGTAAAGATTTTCTTTCTGGGTCCAACTTATATATTTTGCTGACCCCATGTTCCTTCAGAGATTAAAAATATAGATGTATTTAATTAATCTGTTTAAAAAAATAAACATAAAAATGAAGCACAGAAATATTTAATAATAATAGCCTCAGATTATACATTGATATTAAGCATAAAAATTATTATTCTATTGAACAACTTTTCATTATCAAGTATCAACCATCAAAGCCTAGACGACCAAGATGGTCAAATGTGTTTCTTATGACCCGTAAGTTATTAAAGATTACGGTTTAAAGCTTTGATGTTTAAAAATGTAGGTCAGCATGGTCAGTTGATTGAGCCAACTACTCATGTGAAATCTTTAAGTTTCACAAAAAGCTATAATAGTTTCTTTTTCAAGAACAATACCTCCAAGTTAAATAATCACCTTCAAAAATGAATGTCCAGCAACTCGATCTAAAGATTTTGTTAAATCTCCATCTAAGACTAGATCCTTCTCCTCTGGAATCTGTTTAAAGAAAAGCAGAAATTACAAAAGAAGACTGTTTCTAAGCAAATTTTATATATTAAAAACAAACTTTTCTTAAAACTAGCAAAAGCAACACTAACCTTTAACAATAGATTTAAAATATTCCTACAACACAAAGCTCTATCTATATATATATAATTCTCTGTATGGGGACCATACAAGACACCACGCAGCTTAGCTGTTACTCCCCCGCTCTCCAGGCATATCGCTACCACCCTCATCCCCACCTGTCAGGTGAGCTATGGTTCACCCCGAATGTTTACAACAGTAGAGCCGGTTCGGATAAGTGACGGCTATTAGTGGCAGGTAATTTAGTTTTTAAACGATTTGAAACTAAGGGGAGATAAGTTCTGCTTGGTATTTTCATTGTCATCTGTAAATGGCTGCTTTTACTGGGCGGGGAGGGGTGGGGGTGGGGGAGTGGGGCAGGCAGGGGGTAGGGTAGTGTTGAATTCACATATTATGAATTGTTGATAAGTAGAAAATAAATCAACTAAATAGTGGCGTATGCTATGTCACGGGTCAGCTCGTTCTTATAGTTGTAACATTAATCTAACAGGGTTAATGCAGCACTAATGCTAAAACATATAATTTTAAAAGTGATCTGTCCAACTTACAGAAACAAGAATGTGGGCTAATAGTGTTTTCAAAAGCTTGGTAAGTTCTTGAAGATCCATTTTAAGGATTTTTATTATAATCTCATCTGTGGTATAAAAATAGATTTACATTTTAGGCCTTAAAATAATAATGCTAATTTACAAATTTAAGCTTTTCCACCATGTCATGGTGATAGTGTTTTTCCTAGACATGTATGCTTTGTAGTGTATTCTATATTATTATTATGCATAGAAATCAACTACTAATTTAATCATAAATGTCACAAGTGTAAACAGCGCTACTAATCAAACATGCCACAAGTGTAAACAGGGGTATTAAACTACAGTTGACTACAAATTACACAGACATAACATAAAGAATATTATAAAGCTCTACTACAATGGAGGCTACTTTACTTACTTCAGCTCAGTATTACAGTCTTACTCAGACTCTACTCTTATTTACTCTTTTAACAGACACACTGCAGATTGAGGTAGAGTAGAATCTCAGTAGCCACACTTACTAATTACTAATTAACTCTAAACAAATTTATTAATTTAATTAGCAATTACTAGGCCTAGGGCCTTGTACATTTTGTACTTTATACTAAAGTACTAAATTAAGAAATTAAGAATATAAATACTATTAAATAGGGCCTAACTAGATTCTACACTATCTACTATCTACACAGATGAGTAAGTCTAACTAACCTTTACTAAACTAAGTCTTACTAAGTAAACTCTCAAACAACTAAACTTTACTAAACTAACTAAATTTAAAATTACTAAACTAAAGGCAAAGGGTACAGTACACCATACTACAGTCTGTACTCTGAGTCAAGTCAGTAGACCTGGCTTGAAAGTGAAACTGGGTGACTAGATTTAAAACCTTAGTTAGATTGCTACCTCGTTTAGCAGACTGCAAAGTTTAGCTGTTTACAGTGTTTAACAGTTAGCTTAATTTTTAATTAATATCTAATCTAGATCTACAGTCTAGATTCTAGGATCTAGTTATTAAGTTAAGATCTATTTTTTTTCTTTCCTGGTGTAGCCCTGGTGTAGAAGAGTAGCTAGATTCTAGATAGCCTAATTAAATTATTAATAATTATTTAATTAGATAGGCTATCTATCTAGAAATTAAGATCTACCACACTAAAATCGTATGCAAAATTTAAATTAAAACACCATATTAGTTATCACTAGACTAGACGGCTAGATCTAAAATAAAAAATCTAGATTAAATAGAAATTTAGCTCTATTGAATATTTGTTTACAAATTACCTCCCCTTATATATGACTTCCGTTACAGTATAAAAAGTGGTTGGCCACTTTAAATCATAATTTTTTTATCATGAAAATTTATTTTAAAAAAAACATTTTAAACCATTCTGTATTTTTATTGATACTATAATTAATAATATACTCATACTAGTAATCAGGGCTGGCGCTATATATAAGATAAGGTGAACTAGGTGGTCGCCTAGGGGGCTCCAAAATGGGTTGGAAAAACAAATTGTAAGTTTGGGGGGGGGGGGGGGGGGGGGTGCAAATCGCAAGTTGGTCTTCGGCGCTGGGAAGGGTCGCTACGCCTCTGTTAATACAGGGGCACGAAAAAATTGCAGGGTGCTTTTAATAAGTTTTGCCTATGGCGCTAAATAACCTGGCGCCGGCACTGCTAGTAATACTATTGTTATCACTATCAACTGAAGTTCAAGAATATTAGTGTGAATTATATTTTTAAATCTAATGTAAGAAGGTGGGTCAATTATTGATTATAAGTTAAGTTATACATAATACATCTTGTATTGTTGTAATCTAATTACTACTTACTATCCTAACCTATTTATTATGTCTCTAATTAATTTATAATTATAATAATTATAATAAATGAACTATATAAAATTTTCATATAAAATAATATTCATGGCTGCTACAGAATATTGATAGTCCATAAATTAAGTCACGCACCTATAAAGCATTAAAGGATAAGAGGAATAAATCTATGTACCACTTGAAATCTAGATCAACAGGAGCAACAGTTAGATATATATAGCTACAACATTACTATTTTTATTCAATAAAACCTGAAAATTTAGTTTATATTTTAGGCAAAATGTGCTGCTGTTTGGGAAATCTAGTCCGAAATGAGATGCACAACATGTTTAAAAATATCATTGCGTGTTTTTTTTGGATTTTTTAAAAGTATGCCAAGCTTCAGTCTAAAGGTAAGATATAAATAGTGTTTGTACATGAGGGCAATGGATTTCATATTTTATAATAGCAGAAGTCCAGAAGAGTAAAATGTATTTCATAAAATTACTGATATTCTTTATATTATGTGAATACTGTATTTAATACAGAGACTAAAAACAACAATATAACATTTTAAAGTAAAATTGAGAAAAAAAAACAACTATGATATGCATCTTTTTTTGTTCAAATAGATTGTTATACTTTATTGCACACATGAACATTTTCAGGCATTAAAAATCACAGGAACAGTCAATTCTTTACAGTTGACTGATGACATGAATCATGGCAGAGTTACATACATAAAATTGAAAGACATACAGAGATTTGAATTCTACACAAAAAGATGAAATCATGGCTTAAGATGAGTTTCACATTCTAAAACAATAAAACATGTATGATAACTTGTACACACAAGGGACTGTAACAATTGCTGTGGTTGCTTTATTTTTCTATCAAGATTAATTTGTCTCCCTTAACATGTAAGTGCAGTGACTAAACTTACAAAAAAATAACTTCTACTTCTCAGACCACATTACTCACAACAGCCTTTGCAGTTGTAATATTCTCTAAATGTGTCACCTTTCTTTGGACAATGATCATAAATCATATCATTAAGTGTTCTAATCAGGTCTAATAAGGAAGAAAAATACTGGCCTATTTGAAACAGTCGAATTTTTTTGCTTAAGTTAGGCCACAGTGACACACAACACTGCTGAATGTAACTTTACACCAGCAGGGCAAGAAAAAATTGTGTGGATGTCAGACAAACCAATAAGAGAAACCTCAAGACACTTTCTAACCTCACAACTATTTTGGCTATTAGCTCCCTTAACTATGTAGTTTCAGTTAGCTCCCTTTAATTTGAGTTATCACTGAATACAATCAGAGGGAGTAATGAAAGCACATTGGTGATTAATGAGAGTCATCAAGGATTTTATAATTAACCATGGTAACAAAATTAAACACATCCATGACATATTCTTTTCTAGATGACATAAAACAAATAGCTTTTAATACTAATTAAATTAAAATAAGCTACTTCAATTTAAGCTGATGTAACTACTAAAACCATAGACTTCCCATGTTTACAATACATCAATGAAATGTAACATAACAATGAAAGATAAATTTGCAATGGTTAAAAAAAGAATCCTCTTGCATGTTTGAATGATACAATAAAACAAAAACAAAGCAATTCATTAGCTCAGACTGCTGCCATTAGGTAACATTTAAAAATAACAACAAAATGCTAAATACTAGAATAATTGGTTAGCTAAATTATCTGATGCTACTCATGGTGGCCTTATTTTAAATATACTATTTTTGCAATTTCAAATTGAGACTTGCCGTAACTATTACAGACAGTGGGGCTCAGCAGTTAGAGAAAATATGTCACTAAAATTTTGGTTTTCTCAAATAGACTAATCTAGAACCAGAATAATGAAATACTTGAAACAGAGGGATATTATAAAAGATTATAAATTATAAAAGATTTTAAAACTTTATTGCTGTTCTTAAAAATCATTTGCTCTTAAATACTCTGGTGCTACTTCAGGTAAAGTATAACCATGAAATGAAGGATCTACACAACTCTTATGAACACTTGTAGTTACATGAAACTAGTTAGCTTTGGGATTTGATGATAATTAAGTAAACTAATAGCCTTATGGGAAAGAAAACATAATATGAATAAAACAGAAGTGTTTGAAAAAGTGATCATACATTTTTAACTAATAAAGGCATGGTTAAATAGCGACCATAAGCTTTGTATGCTTGAAGTTGATTGTAGTGGTTGACTCCATGTTACTTACGAAGCGCCTGAAAAAAAATATTAAGTTTATTAAGAATATTTTTACTTTGAATTTTATTCTGACTCAAAAATATATAAACAAGTAGCTCATTTTCAGTTTTGATAACAGAAAGTGTACTTAATATTCTTCATATATAATAGTGATTTGAAGAATTTTTTCTTTCAAAATGTGTAATACTCAATAAGTAGTTATATCAAAACTATTTAGCATGGTTAGATCTATTTTCCAAGTCAAGTCTCTGTTAGTGTTAGAATGAACATAACTAATCAGCTTCACAATGCAGTTTTATTTTTCTTAGTCCAAAGTTTGTCCTATGAGTGTCAACAATATTTACCTGAGCCATCTTATGCCCATACTCCATCAGTGTTGGCATGAAGGCATTGACACTGTCATCAATCAAGCTCTGAATGTGTTGTACAGCTTGCTCATCATTTAAATGAAGCATAAACTTCTCCTGGACCTTAAACAACACAAACATTGTCTCGTAAACATTGTGGTTGATAGAAAACTAAAAAAAGGTTTGATTTAAAATGTAATCCACTTCACTTAGTATTTTCTTTTAAATACTATACTCAAACTCGCCTTTCTAACAGTTTTATCAGGTTCCAGGGCTATATCAGGAATGCTAGTATCTACCATCAAAGAAAACAAGTTCAAGAAAAGATTGGCTGATCTGAAAGTTAAGAATTTTACAATAAAAAAAACTTCAAAAGTTGAGTCATGAAAATAAAGAATAAACACAATTTTTAAAAAAATCATATGTAATTTTGAAAATAAAGAAGTGAAAACTTGCTTATAAAATAGAACTTTTTTCATAGGGTTAAAAAAAAGTCAGAAAAAACATCTAACAAGAAATTTTCTACCCTTAAGATACATTAGAAATAAGGATAATCAGAAACAACGTAAAATGTTATAGTGCATAATCTTTACAACAAACCTGCGCAGGGCTAGGAAAGCAGTATACGTAAATACTTTAAACCTCTGGAAATGTTCAGAGTCATAGCCACCCATAGCCTCCACCATCTGTCTGTTAAGCTTCATTGGAGGAGCCATAATTTTAGGGTCACGACCCAGGATAAATCCAAAGTCTATGTGGAACATTTTACCTGATAGAATACATTTTTTAAATAAATTTGAATTGTTCAACAATATAATTATTAAGTCTAGCTGAAAAAAATCAAGTAAAATGGCATTCATAGTTCTAAAACAAAGGTTGATTTTAACATATTACCTGATTTTGTCAACAGAAGATTGTCAAGATGGCGATCACCAACTTGAAGAAGATATGTTACAACACAGTAGCCAGCTGTAATAAAAAGTTTTTGTGTTTTTTTAGTATCATGGTATTTATATATACATGGTTTATGGGAAGATTTGTTGGGATAGATATAGAGTTTTGCTAAAAAAAATTCCATTTTTACTTTTGTTTATAAGATTTTAATTGCAAGGTTCTCAAAATGATTATTAAAAAAAATTAATTTTTGCAAAAAAAAAATTTGAGTTTTTTTAAAACAAATATAAATAAAGTTTAAAATTAAGGCAAAAAAATTAATCACAAAAAAACACTACACAATACAACCCACAGTTTAAAAAAATAAAACAAACAAACATGACTGACCACAACTTTTAACGTAGTTGTCCATGACTTCTGGAACTATGCCGAATGGGCCAGTATCTGATGGGTTGTGCTGTCTTAAAAACTTCTGTATAGCTTTCTCTTTGGACACTTCTGACAAGGCTATTGACTCCACATACTGAACAAGCCCTGTCAGTAGCAATAGCTAGATTTTAGTTCATTGTTTGATTTTAAATATGTAACTGCCATAATAAATAAACACATTGCTATTTTAATACAAATAATTGAAAATAAGGTTACAATATTTCATCATTAACATTTATTTAAATAACAGTAATTAGTTATTGAAGACCATTGTGCTTAAAGAATAAAAGTCACAAACAGCATTTTTATTTAAATTTGCTTCTTTGAAAGAGGCACTTAAACACTTCAGCATTAATATTTATTCATACTATGAAGTCAAACAATAGAAATAATGATGACTGATTGGTTTGATACTCACAAAAATGTGACTTAATTGCTTTGAGAACTCTTCAATTTAAAGAGGAAAACTCACCATGCTCTTTGCTTGTTGCCAGAACTTTGTATGGTGTCATTTGTAAATCCAAGTGCTCATGGCGAAGAAGCTGCAAAAAGTTTGAAATAAAGTATATCAACTAAAGAAGATTGAGTGTATGGATGATAAAGCTCATAACCTCTAACTAGAAACTATAGAGCTTAGATCCAGAGCTCAAGTCTGCAGTACATCCCTGAGTCCACCCAACTCTGATGGGTACTCTACAAACATTAGGGAAACAAATGGACTGGGCATAGTGCTAACCATTCTGCCTTCACATGCAGAGGTCATTGAAAAAGATTAAGTCCATTTTACATGCCCTATGTTTCTTGGGCACGAACATTTAAAGATGATGATATCAAATTATACTTTAAGTGGTCATAAAATTATAAAAATTGAACTATTATCTAATTATACATAATTATATAAAAGATAATCATACTTCAAAAGAACCATTAGCTAATAATACCAGAAAACCATACAAAAAGTTACCTTGTCCATGAGTTGAAACATCTGGAGAATCAACTGGTCTTGTCTTAGGTCATCACCATACTTAAAGATTGCTTTATATTCTTTTCCACTTACTGTTTCAAATGTTAACAGACATGGGCTCAGCTTGCTCTAGAAAAAAATATGTTCATCAAATTACTCTTTGTAATAAAAGGCCAAAAAAATTGATAAAAATGTGTAAATTAGAAAAAAAAAACATTGATGATTTTGTAAACTATCTACACCTTTTTTATATTGTTTTTGTGGTACAATGAAAACTAAATCTATTTTAAATTAAAATAAGAGTGTTGCAGTTTAAAATAATATCTTAAGCAACATTCTAATTCTTTATAACTTACAGCAAAGACTGTGGCTTTTTCAGCAACTATTGATTTGATAAGAACAGAGGGGTCTAATGGCAGTGGTATAGGACCATTGTTGCTAACTAAATCAGCTATTTCAGGCTTGTGGAGCAAAGCTTGCAAATGTTCAATCTGTTTGCATAAAGGAAGAAAGGCTGGATGGTATCTTGTTCGTAACATTTTCAATCAACATATGTATTAGCTATATAACTGAATACAAACAAAATCTCATCTTATTTCTAAAAAGTAAATCAGTTTGTTAAATATTTATTATGCCAGCCGATAAAATGTCAAGATATTTTTATATTTTACAATTTATGTATATAAGGGGTTGGCGTGGTCGGGTCAGTAAACTGATGGTTGCTAAATTGAAAGTCATAACAGGTTGATACCTAGTACTTAATTGTGTTGGAGGAAATACCGTCCAACATTACAATTTACAATCAAAGAAGAAGATTTTATTTTAAAAAATATGAAATGCAAGTTTATTTAGTCAAATATATATATGAATTTGTTGAACATTAACAGAAATATTCTATACCTTTTTCTTTTGGCTGCCAATGCTTTTTAAAGATTCAACTAGAACACAAAGTTTTTTCATTAAAACATTCTGCCTGATTAGATTTGACCTCTGTCTTTTACTCTCAGGGGGACCCTGAAAGTGACAAACCAAAAATGTTTTTACAATAACTTTATATTTAAAAAAATTGATGATGGTACACAAGTATCCTATAAAAGTACAGTATCATGCAGGTGATGATTAAACAAAATGTATTTATTATCTACAAATAAAAATTCAGCAAAAATCAAATCCAACCTTTTGGAGATCCAGCAAAAATTATGGTCTGTGTTCTGGATAGCCTACTGGCTAAAAAATCTTTTTATATAGAAAGATTTGATGTAAAAGAGCTGTAACAATTATTTTCAACTTACCTTGCTTAGGGCCAGACTAAATCTTTTGTGAACAGTTCTGTACATATTTAACACTTCCTCACTTTGAATATCTTCACATTCAACTTCCAAATACCTAAAATGGTTGAGATAATTTAATACATTATTTGTTTTGTCACTAGCAAAGCATACATAAATGAATGATACAATTTTAAAAAGTAAAACTATTCTGAAAACTAAAAATTACAATAAGGTTTAAAAGGTTCAATATCTTAGTTTAAAATCTTGTTTCAACATTTATTTAGTTAAGTGCCGGTAATATATCAGGTTTAATAATTTTTCTGAAAGTAGTGTGATGTGACTTTTAAGCTTAAAACCCACCAGTAAAGGTAGTTGGCAATCACTGGGTTTTTACATGCCCTAGATATTAAAAATGTAGCCAGATCCATCTGAAAAAAAAATAGATGGCACTCTGTATTGTTAGCAAACAGTATTTGAAAAATAAACAAAAATATATTCCAGAATAGGATGCTACAAAAGTGGCAAAAGTTGACCATTTGAAATACTCACCTCATCATCAAGTGCTGATAGTGACATGTCATTTTTTGTAGAGCTTAGTCCTGTGTTCATGGCATCAAGGATCTCCTCTTCTGTTGTTGCTGTGTCTGATCTGCAAAAAGTGAAAGATACTTCAGTACTAGTAAAACATGAGTCCTTTTAATACATGGAAAAGGGTCGGCGTGGTCGAGTCGGTAAAGCTCATGGTTGCTAAGCCGAAAAGTCTCGAGTTCGAACCCTCGGGCAGATGAGGCTCGTTAGCTAGGGACAGCAACTCTTCTAGGAGAGACAACTCCAAAATCAAACAACTGCTGCCTTGTAGTTTGTTCTTGGTTGAACAAAGGCTATGGAAGCAAATCCAAAAAGAAAAGCAGGCTGAAATCGGAGTCAATGGCCTGAATGGCGTATAACCAGTTGACACGTATCCTTAATTGTGATGGAGGCGTGGTCGAGTCGGCAAAAAAAAAAGAAAAAAACAAAAAAAAAAAAACCCCCAAAAAAAAAGACGCATGGTTGATAAATTCGAAAAAGTCTCGAGTTCAACCCTCTGGCAGATAAGGCTCGATCCTTTCCAACACTAAAAATTAAAAACAAAGGAGAAGAAGAAATACATGGAAAAAACAGCTGAAGTTATAGACTTAATCTTATATTACATTCAAAAATTAAACATACCTTAGCTTGGATTCATCTTCTATACTTGATATTCTGAAATATAGATCGATAAATTTTTACCACTATGGTTTCGGGTAGTTTTTACCATTGGCAACAGCTAAAAAAGTGGTAAAAGACAGTGTGGAGTGGAAAGCTTTAACAGAGGCCTTATGTTAGGCAGTGCAAGTAAAGTAAAATTGATGATGATGACAGTAAATAAAAGAAAAGAGACTCTTATTACTGTGTATTAAGAGATTAAACACACAGCACAAAATAAGATAAAAATACTAACGAGGAAGTAGTTAAAGTCTGTGACAATGGGTGCTGGTCCAGGCCTATAACAGGTTCAGCTGGCGGTTGCAATGCCACATCAGAATCTCTACGACCAGGATCATACTCTGGCCGAGGTGGAACGTAATCCTTTTCACTTTTGTTCCTTATTTCATCAAAGTTCTCATACTTCAGAGCTTGAACAAGTTGCAGCAAATACAAGAGAAGATCCTAGAATAACAAATCAAGGAAAAAAAATTAAATATCAATACATGCTTAAACAAACAATACATAGTTCAAATCTTTTTTTTAATTACGCCCTAATCATAAAACATTAAATGAAAGACAGATGATATTTAAAAATATTAAACTTGATACAAATGCTACAAAAGATAATACTAAATAGTAAGCATAAAAAAAAGAATTAAACTTTTGAATTTAATAAATAATTGTAAAGATAAAAATATTTCAGAGAGAAAATTGCAAGATATAACACATTAATCATGGCATTTAACAACAAGTACTCTTTTTTAGTAATCTACTATTTAAAAATAATATATTTTAAACTAACACTAAAAAGTGTTAGCCTTTTTGGGTAACAATAAGCAGAGAACAATCACAGACGTATCAAACACAAGCTCATGTATACATTAACAAACCTCGTCATTGGCCTGTCTCAATCTCATTATTGCATATTTCCTAACTTTAACATGTGTGAATGCTGGACTTAAGAGCTCTAGCGCATCTTCTACATTCATGGGACTCCACAGAAGAAGCATTTCCAAGGCAGCTGTTGACTCTTGGGGCAACTTCCAGTTGACACTTTTCAAAAACTTGGCCAGGGCCTGCAAACACCAAACAGAATCTTAAACGCATTACAAATTATTTATTTTTTAATAGCTGCAAGTTTTTATGGTCATAGTCTTTAAGAGGTCTAGTCATAAATTTCAGGCAGGTTTCCTAAATATAGGGTTAATTGATTAAACACTAGATAAGTTATAAATACTGTGCTATAATTATTCTGAATGTATAGAATGTGCTTTACAAAACAATCCTGATTCAAATGTAACCATTCAATACTTAGAATTCTAAAAGAAACAAATAATCTCTAACTGCAGTTGTGTATTAGCTAACAACGCTTTAACTTTCAACAATTAAGTCTCATTTTTATTTAATTGCAAATAGCTTTTTCTTTAAAATTAAAAATGATCAATGAATATATTATTATAGTAATGGAAGAGTTACAGAATTAATGACGATACTATTAGAAACAAACACACAAGTTTGGCTGCTGACAAAATTGCAAAAGCAAAATACAGTTAAGAAATACAAGTAAGAAAACACATTTCCCCAGTGCAATGCTGCCAATAATTTCATAATGAAATATTTAAAGAAGATTTTTGTTATGTTTTATTTGCCTAAGGGCATTTATGGTAAATAGTTAATTGCACATGAATATGCATATGAATACATTACTGATCAAGCAATTTTGAATGAGGCCAAAGTTGCCTACATTGTGATACAGCTCTGTCTCTTACCTCCTTCTGTGATGACAGATAATATCTGAACTTCCACACCAAATCCTGCTCTTCTGAAGAAAGGGTTTTAGTAGGAGGATAGCCAACAATTTTCTGTAAATAGTTTGTAGATTTAGTTACACAGCATAAACACACATAATTAAAATAAATCATAAATACTAAATGTAATATACTGGATGCAGACGAGCTAGAAAGCTTGGCAACATTTATACCTACACAGAAACAATTAAAGTTATAATTTACGGAAAGATACTGTTGAAAGTAGAAGTGCCAAATTAAGTATTTTGGGACCAAGGAGTTAAATAAAAAAGTTATATGAATACACACATTGAGCATGTCTCTAGTGCTTGCATCTGGTTTTAGGTCCTTATCACTAGGACCTGATCGAAGACTGCGAGCTAGTTTGTGATGTTTACTTTCTACAATGTTCTCCTGTACAGTTGGAAACAAAAATTTTTACATCAATTTCATTACTAAATTAAAATTTTTATAATGTATGAAAGTTGTCTTTATGAAATGCAATGCCTCATTTTTATAAAGTCTTTGTAAGACTGAATTGAAACAACATTTAGAAATTTAATTATTGCTTAAATTTAAATTTAATTCTGTCCACAATCACACACGGAAACTGATCAAATGAACTTAATTTTTTTGCCTTATGACAGACATATTGAAGAATATTTTATGCCAGTTTTACTAAGTTTATGAAGCAATTAAGAAAGTAGTTTAAAATGTATCAAAATGAGTTCTCATACCAAAAGTAGTTCAGGATCATGTATTGTCACAATATCTGCACTAGTTCTGAATTCATATGCTCGATCACCTTCCTTGAAATAATAAAACATAATCCGTTTATGAAAATAATAAAAACTGACAATAAACCTAAGAGCCAAAATGTTCTTTATAAAATGATATGTAGTCTTAAAATCATTTCTACACTGTTATGTATGTAGTAGGAATATAGCTGTAAATAACATGTAAATATTATTCAAAATAAGGTAATTACATCTTATCCCATATGAATTATTATAATAGTGAATTTATCAATATTAGCATTTCATGAAAGGGAAAAGACTGCAAACCTTTTCAAAATAAACAACATTGTGTGGTATATTGTCGTAATGAATGCGAGGAAATTCAATCATGAGGTACATGCATTCTGAATCTCTCTTCTCTTGCTCATTCACCAGTTCAATTTCACGGAATGTCAGCCTATCCAGCCAGTCTATTTTTGTCATGTGACCATCTCTATGTTTTTTGGCCAGCTGAAGTTAAAATTAGCCTTGTAAAACAAGCATTGGAAAGAAAAATGTGCTATGAATAATAATGAACTTTATTAAACATCTTTAAGTAATTTATATTTAATAATACAAGTTTATTAAAATTTTATTTTATTAAAATGTTTGGAACCAGTTTTTTTTAAAATTATTTACCACTCAGGTAAATTAAATTTTTAAATGTTCTTCCCAGTCAAAAAGTACTTATAATTTTAAAGTAATTATTTTAGCTAAACAATACAAACAGTTTAATATGCAGCATAAATTTGTCTGCTATTGATATACTGAAAGTCACATAACTAAACAAAGTTTGTATTTTTAGAATAATAATCCAACCTTGGACAACTGGCTCATTCTGTCACCAGCATCTTGCGACTTCCCTGGAGTTTCAGATTTAATGTTTGGGTCAGGCTTGCGGTCAGGCCACACTCTTAAATCATGCATACCTTTCCTTAGAGTTCTAAATTTAAACCAAGTCTTCAGTTATGTAAAATATTAATGAATCAAGCAAACTTTTTTCAACCAGAAATTTTTTAAATATTCAATTACAAATAAATGTTCAAGCCTATTAATACAGTTATATAAATACTGAAAACAGTTGCGTATTACCAGAAAAAAATTGACATTACCCACGCTTTCCAAATATAGAAACAGTTGTAGCTCCTATGGGGATCATTCCTTCAGTACCATAATAGTCCCATATGGTAAAGGCTAACACAGCTTGACGAGGTAGGTCACTGAACTTAATGGGCAGACTCAACCATTCATTCCAACTGAGGAAGTATTTGCATTTATTAAAGATCACAGCTCAGGCAATCATAACATTGTGCAAACAATGATCCAAAACCACTAAAAAGAAAACAAATACATAAACTATTTTTGTCAAAATCACTCTAAGTAATGATGATTGAAATTTTAAAAATTCTTACTTCCAACGAGTTGTAAAAGATTTATGAGAAGTTTGCACAGGCAATGTGATCGGCAATCCATTATTAAAAACTTGAACTGTAACAAACAGATCTGAGCACTCCTCTTGATAGGAACCAGAAAAGTAACCCACTGAATCTTGTTCTATGATACTTTGGTAACTTGGTCTATTTCTTTTTCCTTCTAAGCTTCCTCTGTTCAAAATAATTGGTTTGTTAAAAATTATAAACACTTAAAGTATTGACTACAACTGCTATTTCAAAATAAGATGGCCAGAAAGAATCTCCAATGATCAGATAAATGGGGTAGAAATGAATAAAACATAGACTAATAATTTGTATACAGTATACACTATACAGCCTAATCTAACTAATGGTTTACGACATGGTTTACACATGACATCAATGATGTGTATTGTGTATGGCACATGGGGTTTTGGGGTGCTGGTTTTTAAACAAAATGGGGTGGGATGGCTAAAGGTACCTGTTCCAAATAGTCTGTCCTAGCTTTTTGGACTTTTTGCATTTGCTTGCAGTAACTTAAGAATTGACGGCAGGTTAGCCTTGCTAACTTTTTAACTACGTTAGTTAGGCCTACTAGATCATTGCTCCATTGATTGCCCGCTCGCGTTTTCTGGTCAGCGCAAGAAAAATACCGACATGATGTAGCCAGGTCACTGTGAGTGTTCACTTTGGTTTAATGTGAACAGTGTAGGCGTATAGCATACATCATAGCAAGACCATTGATATGAGCTTTGTCGTCGCCGTAGTCCCCCCCCCCCTCCCCTCCCAACCCAGCAAGAGGGAAAAACGGATTTGGGGTCATTGTGAGTTCAAAAGTTACATATTGCTTCTATTAAAGCGTACTACAATGCATGCGAGATATTCGTGTTCAAGAAAACGGGCCCGGGAGCTGTAGTCTGCAGCCTATATGAGCTATCTTATACAATATATATATATATATATATATATATATATATATATATATATATATATATATATATATACGTAATTAAATTACGTTTAGCAGAAGAAAAAGAAATAAAACACATTTTTACATGCGCGCTCAACATTCGCTCGGCCATTGAAGTTCATACCATAGGCCATAATTATATTATAGACCTAACGACACCCGCTCATCATAACATTTGTCAGTAATGATATCGGTTATTTAAAGCCAGATCTCAATATATCATTTAGAATTACAATTACAAGGAAAAAAATCACAACAGAAAAGATATATTCTGCATCTTAAAAGAACTTTTGTATAACTAAATCTTAACAATTCTATTGGCTGGTCCCAATAGCGGCCGAGGCTATTAGGACCCGGGTCCCAATAGCGGCCGTGGCTATTGGGAGCGGATCCGAATAGAATAGATAGATCATAATAGATGCATCCTAAGTTGTAAGTAGTCAAGACTACTAGACTAGATTCTAATTACTAAGTATAGGCCTATAAAAAATAAAAAGCTTATTTTAACTTTTTAAAACTCAGACATACTTTTTATATTATAAACTATAGTTTCATAGTTACTCTATAGTCTATAGGGCCTGCTAACTAAAGAAAAAAAAGACAAGTTGAAAAAAACTAACATTTTTATTTCTAACTCTGCATCCAGCTCAGAGCTGTACACATAGTTGAAACGTCCACCACTTTCTTCCATATTTGTTAGGTAATTCAGAATATGTACATTTACTTCATCTAATTGAGGTAGACTATTTTTTTTACTAAAAATTGGGCGTAAATTGTAAGAATATTGACAAAATGACTACAAAGTTGGGCTGTGTATTATTGACTTTTTAGTGAAGATAATTGAAGTAGTCTCCCCTGTACATTCAGAAGCATTCGCTTTTTTAAAATGGGAATATTTCAATGAAATGAAAATAGAATTAAACTAAAAGTTATTCTTGTTATAACTGCATCAATGATCAACCTCCCAATTGGCATTGCTAGAAATAGAATCAACAGATTTTAATCCAAGGTGGAAGCATATTGTTTTTTTTTTCGTTAAAATTCTATCGAGGGTTATTATACATTTGTTGGGATTACATGCTTTATTCTTTTTTATTCTATTCTGTTGAGACTTTTGTATGTTTGATATTGTCCAGTGCCACATCGTCATATAGATCTAGGTCTACTTATATATACTTTAGAGTTAGACCAGTGGCTCTTGTCCAGTGCCACATCGTCATATAGATCTAGGTCTACTTATATATACTTTAGAGTTAGACCAGTGGCTCTTTACCTTTTTGTAGGTACTCACCAGTTTCATAAGCTCTTTCGCCGAATCCTTCTTAATAGTTATATTAATAATTTTTTTCCTGTTTGAAAATTGAATTTTCGAAAGCTTACACAAAGGCTGACTACCTAAACGTACCTACATAATTCAAATTCAACAAAACACAATATTTGCAAAATGCGCCTTCAAGTAATCTGGATTAATACAACCAGTTCCATCTATGTAACCATGAACAGCGTTTCTTTCAGGCATCTTTCCCCCTCCTGAAGACGACTACCCTACCCCACCCCACCTCCATCCTCGAATTGAAAATACTTTATTAGGACGCCATAAATGTTCTAATAGATGCAATCTTTATCATCTCTTAGAACTTCTTTTATAAAATTCCCTATATCATTTGCGTAAGATACAACTGAAGATGCTGAATGTACGGAAAGTTCTTGGTGTAATGTACTTTTAAAGTTTTACCTTTCTTTGTAAAGAAATCAGTTAATGAAGTAGTTTTTAACTTTTTTTTTTCGTCGTCCATCATTGAAATAAATTTTAAAAATAAGTAGTAAATTAGTAAAAAAAAATCCACACACTAACTGCACTTCGAGCTGCACTAGATTTAAAAAATATTTCATGGATTTTTTTAGGAGTCTAAACCTACCAATGCCGTTGTTAACATTCGAACTGATCTTGGTGTAACTTTTAGAGTTCCGTTGTATGTTAGTAGTTAGAGATACAAATGAGCTTGACTCTGTAAGACTCACATTAAGGAAAGTAAAGGCGTCTCGCCATAGTGCAGACCGCACAATAACTTCATGTGCCGAGGTCACAGTAACAGGTGAACTCTATTTCACCTGCCCCGTGGCCCTTCAGGTTCTAAAGGGTACTTAGAGATATAAACAGCTATGTCATTGAATTATCGATATCGTATATATCATATTGTTTAACTTTCCGTTAATATATGGGGGAATAGGGATGGGTTAAGAGATGAAGAGATGTTAATTAACCATAATTAACAATACGAATTTATTCATTTATGGCTAACAAGTGAAAGGCTGACAAGCGCTAACATTGAGAACTATCACGTGATACTTCATTATTGAACAAAGGTATAAAAGGTTGGGAGCTTTGCTTTATGCAGACGTAGGCTACTATTTAATTTAATTTATTCAATTTATTTTCAATTTATTCAATGACGGTAATAACAGTATACCTTTTTTCCACATTGGCCGTTAAAAAACCATAATAACAGCATTGTAATAAAAAGAAATGGAGTAGTAAACACATAGCAGTAACACACACACACAGACATATATATATATATATATATATATATATATATATATATATATATATATATATATATATATATATATATATATATATATATATATATATATATATATATATATATTGCAAGCATGAGAGCAATTTCCCTATAAGAAGAACCCATCAAAAATCTGTACACACTTCGTCAAGTGTCTTGGCAGTGTGGGATCCAATACAATGTTTTGTGACTTTACTATCGCAGCAAATTACGATACAATCACGTGTCATCGGCTGCCTTCTCTTAATTTTTTCCAAGCTGTATTCCGGTCCGGGATGAGGGGGGGGGGGGTGATCACAAAGAATTACTTTGTGTCAAATAATGTTCCCGGTGATATTTTAAGGTTGTTTCTGGTAACAGTTTATAAAAGTGTCATGTTTTAATTTTTGGGGGTGGGATATAGGTTGAGGTGTGACGTCATTCTATGGGGTGGGTGGTGGTGAGTGTGTGTGGCTTTTTGTGACGATGTGTGACGGAGAGGAGGTGGGGAAAGGTAAAAATCGCCAAAAAAGCGTGATGTCGGGAGTATTTTTAGCGCAATTTCCATTCTGGAGAATTGCGTTTATTAACTCGTCTTTTCTGGGAATGGATGGATGGATGAATGGATGGATGGATGTGTGTCCGCAGCTTTAAGTCGTATCTCCTCCTCAACGAAGCAATATCGAGGACTAGTTCCAAAAGCAATTATGTTAAGCAAGTTACGAGGATGAACATAGGCCATAAAAATTCCGGGTTTCTTTCATGGATTTCCCGGAAAAGCCAAAAAACCTCGAAAAAAAGCAGTTTTTGGCCCATATCTCGGCAACCAGACCACTTAGCGACTTGAAACATGTACCAATCGATTCCTGCCATAATTTAGAACAATATTGCCGAAGAAAGTTTTCAAAAATATCCTTTCGTTTGGTCACAAAAACTTTTTTGAATTAATTAAAATTTGGACCGAATTAGTAGGCATTTTATGCAACCACACCACACGCGTCATCACGTTCAATAGCTGCGCCATCACGTTCAATGGCTGCGACGTCACGTTCGGTAGCTGGGCGCGCAATGGTTTTTAGTCATGTTACTCTATTGTAAATAAAACATGTAAAATACTGGAAAAAAAATTAATAAAAAACGTTTTAATAATTAACCAATGGTTTTACTAACCCTACTCTTGATTTACACTACGACAGAGCTATTTTTAGATAACACAAGGAAATTGCGCTAAAATTGTCACTAGACTTTTTTTAATTACTTGTTTACTATTTTATCAATACAAGTATATTAAACTATAAACTATTCGTTTGAAAAAGCTTTAATATTCCAAGTTTTCGCTTTAGTATCATGCTTTGTCATTGATATTTCATTTTTTATATGTTTATCATAAATGCGTCTTTTTCACTTCATTTGGTAAAAAAAAAACAAAAAAAAAAAAGCAAAACAAACGACGATTACAGAAACTAACTTCACTAATTTATAGGCAGAAGAAAATCATAAAACTTATTATTTTTTTAATTTTTATTTTTTATTAAATATCAAATTAGCGCACATTGTTAGCAGCTCCAGTAATTATGTTATTGACAGAGCCGGCGTTAGGAATACGCGGGGCCTAGGGCCAACCATCTGCGCGGGGCCTTTTCATTATATATATATATATATATATATATATATATATATATATATATATATATATATATGTGTGTGTGTATAAAGGCCTATATAATGTGATGTACACATAATAACACAAATGTTTTGGAGTTTATAAGCTAATGTCAAACTTTCCACTATAATAACAGATTTTTATCTCTCCCATGTATTAACCCAATGTTCGTAGTTTTTTTTTTCCTTTGCTAAGATATTAAATCACTTTTGACAGTTATGTAATTAATACCAAATCACTTAAGAAAATTTAATCACGAATAATTAGGAAAATAAAGTTTACAATACAGCGAACTCGGCCTGATGTATCAAAACAGTATAGACTTCAAAATTTGTTTAGAATTCATACAATATTTTAAAACCAAAAACATTATTGTCTTAATTATTGAACGGGTGAATCCTTAAGGTGACACAACATAACAACAGTTTTAACTTTCTTCCAAAAAATAATAATAAATCACTCTGTTTAATGCCGCCTGATATAGATCCTAAGGCGCCCCCCCCCCCCCCTCGTCGCCCTTCTCCCGCCCCTCTGCACGCAACTGAATGTTACTTTTGTTATACCAAGACAAGTAGGCATACATAGAGAGTATCTTCAAGGCATCTCTTCGGGGCGGGGAAGGGGGGGGGGTGGGGGGGGGGGGGGTGGGGACAAGCCTTCCTCCCCGAAAACGAAATGAAATTTATATAATTTATATAGAAAATATATACTTTTAACAGTGTCCGCCCCCCCCGAAGAAAATCTACCGCCCCCCCCCCCCCCGAAAATTTCAAGTGCCCCTCCCCCCCGGAGAAAAAAGTCTGGAAGAAACACTGTATATATACGACATTATACGACATCTACAATAAGAAAGTCAGGACTAGAGTTCATCAGGTCACTAACTGTCTACTACAGACCCCGTCTGCTCACTAAAAGGACGTCTTCATGGGTCCGCATACAATAGGATATCTCTTTACGTCGTGGGCTAATTCTCGACCGCCATCTCCAGTCAGCTCAGGTCAAATGCCAGGCGACCGTACCCTACACAAAGGGAAGGCGTGACACTATTTTTGTATCGAATTACGGCCTGTCCCAGTTCAGGTGGGACTCACCAACATCAACCGTGGCCTCAGTTATAACAATTAACAACGTCGGCATTCGACCATTTAGTTTTTCCCAACTGAATTCAGCAACAATTTTTTTAAGTTTACAAACTAATTCAGATCACAATGACATTGCTGAAGCGCGGGGCCCCTTTAAGCGCGGGGCCTATGGCGACCGCCCCGTTTGCCACCCCCTAACGCCGGCTCTGGTTATTGACATCTGGCTTGCTTTAAAACTTAAATATGAACACAATACATAACCAAGTATTAAATCGTTGTTTTGTTGACTATGAACACAAAACGCATCTATCTATAATAAATCGTTTTTTTTCCACCTGATTATCTTTTCACCTTAAATATAAAGACAACACCAGGATCGCCCTTGTAGTAGTTGGGCGTCACTGTACGAGATACAGCCACCCATTGTCCTTCCACCTCTAGCTCCTTCATGTGTGGCTCCAGTCTGTCTTTGTACTCCTCAACACCTGTCAGGTCTGCCTCAAGCATGGCTATGAACACGTGACCACCTGTTGAATAATATATTGAAAGACTAAAGAAGGGGCGTGGTCTGATATCCAAAGATGGGGGAGGAGGGGTGAGGATATAAAATGACGCTAATTTTTCACTTTAATAGAAAATTATAGACAATTTAACTTTAAATGTTAGTTTGTTTTCAGCTGAACAAATTAACGAAAAGGGTGTCACTTTTTATATTAATATTTCCAACAGAACATTAAAACTTGTCTGTTCTAGTCATACACAAAGCAAATGAAAACCTGGTTTAGTTAGACTTATCAAGGCATCCAGTCCACTGCATGGGATGTGTCCATTAGCGAACCCACCAGAGACAACTACAGCATCGTAACGGTCTGAAAAGTGTTTACAAAATTATGCATTTCTGTTGACACATCAGAAATTGGGATACTCTCTGTTTTAAGAATTGGGTGGAAGAAACCATAAAGGGATATTATAAATAAAGAGAAGATTATAAGCTTGCTATTAGATGAAAACTTTTTTTTTTTAGAGAAAAAAGTTTTTTGTTTACCAAGTTTAGCTTTTGTCGATTCTTCACCAAGAAAGATCAGGAAAGTTCGATTATATATTGATTTTGATTTAGCCAAGTTCAGCATACTTTCGTTTGGGTCTAAAGCATCAATTTTCCCGAAGCCTTTGCATTTTAACTGTAAAAGTAAGGTAAGCAGGTAACGTAAACACGATTTTAAACATTAAGGGAGACAACTTTAATAAAATACAAGGAACCTGTCTTAAATAAGGAAAAATGGAAGGCGGTTGGCTATTGATCTAAAACCCTGTAAAAATCTATAAACATGAGAATAAAATAAAAATAAAATAATTCACGTAACCAAGAGAAGGACACTAGTATTTTTATTTTTTTAATAAATGGTCTGTCAACGATGGTCTGTTATGACTATGTTTAAAGGCATGTTTTAAAAGGCAACAACAACACAGTTTAAAGGTACTGACCAGACTACCCACCATCCCCGTGCCAGCGGCCACATCTAGAATGTAGAGATTCTTCCTGACTTCTTCATCAGGATAAAACTGGACCATAGCCTCTGATGTAATCAACGGACCTCGGTAATTGTTCTCAGTGACTTCCTTTGGTTGAGAGCAAAATAATCATTGTTAAAGCTGCATGCAATATCTCACTGCAATGCATAGAGAAAGTACGAGGTGTTTTTTTTTTCGATAGTTTCTAATTTCAGAAAAATATGTGGGGCAAAGGTTCTGAGGTTTGGAGACTAGTTTGATGATGCCTGACAACATCTTCTTGACTTCCGTAAGTCCACTGATCCTAATTCCTAGCTGACCCCAGCACGATACAAGCTGATAATTCTTGGAAATGTCGATATTCTGGGAACTGGACATTTCCCTAGGGTCAAATACTCAGCTCCCGCCCCTCCGCCTACCACGTTTTCATGTCACTGATTACGGAGACACCTGGTACAAATTGCAACTGGTAGATGCACGGAGACACCTGGTACAAATTGTAAATGGTAGATGTACGGAGACATGTGGTACAAATTGTAACTGGTAGATGCACGGAGACACCTGGTACAAATTGTAAATGGTAGATGTACGGAGACATGTGGTACAAATTGTAACTGGTAGATGCACGGAGACACCTGGTACAAATTGTAAATGGTAGATGTACGGAGACATGTGGTACAAATTGTAACTGGTAGATGCACGGAGACACCTGGTACAAATTGTAAATGGTAGATGTACGGAGACATGTGGTACAAATTGTAACTGGTAGATGCACGGAGACACTGGTAGACAGCTGTTTGTAAGAACGACTGGATTATAGCGGCTAGCGAGGTGTAGGCTACTTCCTACACCCAAAATGGGTGGATCTCGACATAGTCCGGTAGGACAGTGAAGTCAGGCTAAATATCGAATATTTCAGAAACTGAAACTGGGGGGGGGGGGGTATTGACAAAGGGTAACTTAATTGAGATAATGACACGAAGGGGTAATGTTTTAGACTCCGATATTTTCGATGATGAGTTATGATATGATCAGGATTTCTTCTAGCCATTGTCCTCCGTGGTGTGTGTGTGTGCGTGTGTGTGTGTGTGTTGGGGTTGGAGGGAGGGGGGGGGGGGATAGTAGTTAAGGTAAATATTGTAAATATAAATTTAATTTTTCCCTAGGGAGGCGGTTGGCGTGCTTCACATGGGAGGGGGATATGTACGAAACACTGTGCATAATTAATATATGCTCAAGGCAACTCCAACATTAAAATCACAACAACAAATATTAAAAGTAGCAGATGCTAAACTAAACTACCTTTTCGTATTTCGCATCTTTGGCCCATTCTGAATACATATCATACATTTCCTGCCGAGTGTAGGCCTTTTCTCTGTCTGTTGTTTGATTCGTTTCATGCTGCATCGTTATCAGGCTGTACTTTAATGTATTATTGGATCAAAGTTTAAAAACAAATAGAAAGCAAGGTACATGTTTTCTTTCAGAAATTCGTCATTGTATGTGTTGTATAATTTATCAGTGAAAATATTAATTTTTACATTTTAAAATATTTTATACACAATATGTATATACTAACAAAATACATACACCAACATATGTATATACTAACAAAATACATACACCAACATATGTATATTAAATAGTCTGGTCAATAATTACAAAATAATAATTAATAATTGTTTTTATCCGATATTAAATTTTGTTTAGTATGAGTAATATAATAGAAACAAAAATATTTTGTAACTATGTTTGATTGTAATACAAGTTACATTTTAGTCTTAAAATAAGATAAAAAATATAACCCTTATTATATATATATATATATATATATATATATATATATATATATATATATATATATATATATATATATATATATATGTTACCTAAAACCAAAAATTAAATGTAAAAATAATGTCGCTTACATCGGTAAGACACAATACTGTGTATCAAACATAATGTCACTTACATGGGCATTGAAACTGTATTAGGTACAAAATAGTTCACGAGGAAGACGACATGTGCCACCGTAGGACTTATCCCATGGTTCATTGCCCTAGTTATTTATATAGAATTTAGCTCCCTGTCCAAAATTTCCAAAAATATGCAAGACCTGCTTGCTTGAATAACTAGTACCAATACTTGACCCCTTTGAATAAGCCTGAATGGTTGTCGTTATCAGCGATGCGTGTCATTTTGGAAACGTGGGCACGGCTAATGTAAAAGAATTGAGTAGTTGAAGTAGAGCAGACGAGTTATTGTTAAAATTTACATAACGAAATTTCCATCCGTTGCCCTACTGTTTTCATAATATTAACCATTTGTGACATGAGTATTGGAAGCAAAGGCGTAGCGAGGGCAGGGGTGACACAATTTAGGGGGTGACACCAAAGCAAACAATTGCAAAACGTACAGAAGAAAAATGTTTTTTTTTTGCTAGTTCCATTAATGATTAAAAAAAAGTTAAGTAGTATTTTAAAAAAATACAAATCGACTATTATTACATGAGGGTGGGGGTGACAACATGAAGTAAACGTACCAACTATAAAGAAAACAATGCTACATCCAACTGTATTATCAAAATTATAGGCCGACACACACACACAAGCATATATATATATATATATATATATATATATATATATATATATATATATATATATATATATATATATATTTCTTTGGGTGGGGGGAGAGACCGCGAAATGCCGCACCGGGTGACACCCGACCTAGCAACGCCACTGAGTAAAAGATTACATGAACTTAAAAAAGAATGCTGGCAGGGCTTCACGAATTTGTTTGTTTGCTCCCACTTTAAACCTGGACCCAACTTTGATTCTCGACCCTACCCTACCAGCCCTAATGTTGACAAAACCGGCTGAAAGTAAAATCTCTGTACCGTGTCGTATTGCTCAGTCAGCTGTCTAACAACACGTTTTGGCCTACGGACATTCATTATAGGAAACAGACCATGACGGGTCTGTTATTGTCGTTTTTAAATTACTGACACATTGGTCCCGTTCTCTCACCCCCCTCCCCCCCCCCCCCTCTACACTTACCTCACCACATTCGTTTTTACAGCTGTCGTCTTTTGTTTAATGCTGTGGGGTGAATACAATATTAGGAAGGGTTTTTCTTCAATTAAATTTCTTTCAAGTATTCTATTCAGGGTTGAAGCATATTAACCACAGTAAGAGTCTTACACATGCAAATGTATGATAAACAGTAGTCTGACGCTGGGCGTCCTCAAGGCCTTGGGTGAGATATAGTAGACCTATATTATTCTATATGTTACCATTGCGTGCGCCATGATTCTGGACATATTTTAGATAAACCTGTGTGTGCGCTTCTTTTCCAATCATTGTAATCTAAAGTGAAGCATGTTCCTTTTAGGATGTAGGGTAAAATCCCATGCCACAGTAGATATCTTATTTAAAAAAAAAAAAAAAACAACCTAAAAAAACAGTCCACTGGTTCAATTAGCTTAGAGGCCCGACATAAATCAGTGTGTGTAAATCTTCAGCTGAGCGTCCCTGAGTCAACCCAGCTCTAGTGAGTACCTAACTCACATTAGATAAAGTAAAGGTGGTTGAGCATAGTGATGACCACACTATCTCCTTACATCCCGTGGTCACAAAAACAGATGAACTCTACTTTACTTGCCCAATGGATCATCAGTTTCGAAAAAAGAACTTTAGCCTATATGATTCATGCCGACCCTAGATATAAAATTGATTTCGCTTCATATCAAATGATGTGTTAATAACAGTTATGAATTTATTGTAAATCAATTAAAGTGTAACACAAGGCAATCTTTACATTGTTTAATACACCATTGCTAAGCAAATAAACTAATTTAAAAGAGGAGAGACTAATGATGATAGCAATACAAATGTACAAGCTAGTGGACCCGTTCTTCGCACGGGTGACAAACACTTTTTAAATCCACATATTTCTCCAACCCTAATTACAACAATAAACGAGACATGTTATCACTAAAAATAATTGTAGACTGGCAATGCTCTGTGTTTAGACAACTGATTTGCTTTTAACTTTAAATACCAACACGACTCCGGCTTTACCAAAATAGTAATTTGGCCTCACTGTTCGAGACTTGGCTTCCCATTTTCCTTCCAATTCTAATTCTTTTATTCTTAGCTCAAGTTGGCCAGGGTACTCCCCAGCAAATTTCAGATCATGCTCGAGTATTACTATGATCACATAACCACCTGTTGGATATGAGAGACGAAATCTACATATATAAATAATTTAAATTAAACTAAATTGAATATACCTATACGTAGGCATAGATTTACACCTGGTTTTAATATAAAAAAATATATCCAAAGTAATAAGCGAGTGTTCTACCTGGTGTAGCTAGACGTATGAGTTCATCTAATCCTCCGCATGATATATGTCCATGTCCCATCCCACCACATACAACTACCACATCATAAAAGTCTAAAAATATTTGAAAGTTGCGTTATGACGTAGACGGCAACATGTAAGGCAAGGCGCTGTCTCGTTATGTCAAGTAGGGTAAGCTGACTCACCCGGGGAAAAACATAATTATAAGGCGCTTACACACACACACTCACACACACACACACATACATACATACATACATACATACATACATACATACATACATACATACATACATACATACATACATACATACATACATACATACATACATACATACATACATACATACATACATACATACATACATACATACATACATACATACATACATACATACATACATACATATATATATATATATATATATATATATATATATATATATATATATATATATATATATATATATATATATATATTATATATATATATATATATATATATATATATATATAAATTTGAGGATATAAGTAAAACAATTATTGTTACCAGATTGAATATTGGACGAATCTTCAAGCCTATTCTGGAAAGTTTGAGTGTAAACGGCTTTTAATTTAGCCAGGTTTAGCATATTTTCACTTGGCTCCAAAGCATCAATTTTTACGAAGCCTTTGCGTTTTAACTGTGATAATAAAAGAAAAGAATTATTTTCGTTTTTAGAACTAATTTTTAAAAATGGTAAAAACTAAATCAAAATTAAAATGCAAGTGGATTTGAGGTTGTCCAAAATTTTAAACATTTCAATCTTAAATTTGTGGAGCAATTTAATTTGGCACTGACCTGACTACCAACCAACCCAGTGCCAGCGGCGACATCTAGAATGTAGAGATTCTTCCTGACATCTTCATCAGGAAACAACTCAGCCATGGTCTCTGCTGTAATCAACGGGCCTCGGTAGTTTTCTTCTCCCAGGTCCTTGGGTTACAAAAAATAGTTTTTATTTTTTCAATTTTTTTTTACATAATTATATTGATAGTCGCTTTTTGTTTTGTTTGTGTGTATGTATGTGTGTGTTTGTGTGTGTTTGTGTGTATGTATGTGTGTGTTTGTGTGTGTTTGTGTGTATGTATGTGTGTGTTTGTGTGTGTGTTTGTTTGTGTGTTTGTGTCGAAATGTGTATATATCGAGTTAGGGGGTCGGGGGTCATCCATAAATGACGTCACGCTTTTTTGACGATTTTTACCTCCCCCCTCCCCTCCGTCACACACCGTTACAAAATTATGGACCCCCCTCCCCCCTCTCCGAGTGTGACGTCATTTATGGACGACCCCTCGACCCTCATATTGCCGTTACAGAGTGTGAAATTATTCAATCAGTTTCATCTCTATTTACTTTGTATATAAAGAAGGAATGATCTATAATAAACTTTCTCGGATATACTTATATAGCACTACGGGGGAAAGCATCTTTCAGGCATCTCTTCGGGGCCCGGGGCGGGGGGGGGGGGGGGTGATGTTCCCCAGTAGCACGTCTACCGCCTCCCACCCAACACCCACCCCGAACGAAATAAAAGAAAACCGTCTGAAAGAAACACTGGTTGTCTGTCAAATCCATTAGCTATTATGGAAAACATAAACATTCTCTGTAACGTCCAGGATAAGACCAACATACAAATAAAGGTAGCATGAGGGAACCTGATCGTACTGATCCCATTTTGAATATATTGTGTGCACTTCTTCCTTGGAATAAACCTTTTTACTGTGTAAAAATTCGTTGATGATTGTTTCTTGTGCCATTGTCTTCTGATTTTTTTTGTCACTTAGAGTGGACCTATAATAAGAAAAAAGTTGTTAGCAAAACAGTCTTAGCTTTCTACAAATTTTAAATTAAAAAAGAGTTGACGGAACGCCTATATATATATATATATATATATATATATATATATATATATATATATATATATATATATATATATATATATATATATATATATATGTGTGTGTGTGTGCGTACCTGTGTCTCTTAATATAACCTAACCGACACTTCAAAGATGGGCAGTGTACATCTAATACCTAATTCTAACATAACATTAAAAAGAAATATCAACTAAACAAAAAGTGGAGTAGAATAATATTTATTAAAGTAAAGCATTTATCATACATACCACTACGATCATAAGACAGCCAAAAGGCGATTCGTAATACTCCGATACAACGTTGTGTCCTTTATGTCGAGTTACTGCATGTATCCTACACTATTGCAGTTATAGCCCAATGGTTCATTTCATGGTGTGTAGGACACGCTAGAATACCGTGTTCATTTCTCTACCACAAATACAGGCAATGCTGGTATAGGCGACATAACATAAAAATGGCTAGATATAAATGGTTATGCTGATATAAGCGACGTAACAAAACAAAAATAGAGTGGTATTACGACAGGAATGTGTTGATGTGGTTAGATAAATCAGTGCCCAACTTTTAAGGTAGAGTGGAGACGGGTGGAGGGGGTGGGTGCGGAAGGATGGGCGGTCTAGATTTCTATTTTTTTAAAATGAAAGGCGGAAGACATAACTAATTTTCCCAAGCAGCGTTTCTTTCAGACTTTTTCTCCGGGGCCACATAATGGCTTATAGGGCCTTAACACCAGAGTTTCTTTCAGGCATCTCCAGAGACGTAGCGACCCTTCCCGGCGCCCGGGGACATACTTTCAGTTTGGCGCCCCCCTCGGGAGCAAATTTTCGATTTGCACCCGCCCTCAAACTTTCGATTTGCACCCCCCCTCGAACTTTTTATTTGCACCCCCACCCTCAAACTTTCGATTTGCACACCCCCCTCGAACTTTTCATTTGCACCCCCCCTCAAACTTTCAATTTGGCGCCCCCCCCTAAGGTCGGCGCCCGGGGACATATGTCCCCCCCCCCCCCGCTACGCCTCTGGGCATCTCGCACGTCTACCATCTCTCACCCCCTTCTTCCCGAATGAAATGGAGTTAGAATTACCACCCCGCCCCCACACCGAAGTTGCCCCCGGAGAAAAAAGTCTGAAAGAAACACTGATGAAATAAACACTGCTTAACAGGTCTAAATCTGGTGCCTGATGCAGTAGCGTAGCGAGGGGGGGGGGGGGGGGCGGGGGGGACATATGTCCCCGGGCGCCGACCTTAGGGGGCGCCAAAAAGGGTTGGAAAAATAAATTGAAAGGCTGAGGGGGTGGAAAACGAAAGTTTGAGGGGGAGGGGTGCAAATCGAAATCTCGAGGGGGGTGGGGTGCAAATCGAAATCTCGAGGGGGGGGGGGTGCAAATCGAACGTTTGAGGGGGGGGGCGCAAATCGAAATCTTGAGGGGGGGGGTGCAAATCGAAAAGTTTGTCCCCGGGCGCCGGGAAGGGTCGCTACGCCTCTGGCCTGATGTATAAGATATATTTTACCAATTTTATGTCAGTAATCTAGTTATGATTATTAGTGACTAGTTTTGATTAAATATAAAATTAGTAGCCTACCCGGTGCCAAAGTTCGGCGAAATTCTCGAAGGGCGGTATATTTCAATAACCATTCTTCGTTGTAAAGAGATCCCACCTGATGTGCATTAAAGCAAATGATGCAATTAATTGGCGGCGTGCATTTGATTGCTTATATGCTGCAATGTATCTATTTGTAAAGCCACTAGGCCTGCTTAATGAGACGGTCCCTAAAAACTGCCTGTGACCATGGTAGGCCTACACCCCGCCGACTGTTGCTACTGGGTCGAGACGATATTTCGCCAACTCACTTGATTTGTGGTTACTTAAAAAAACAACATTCAAGCCACTACCCCCATCTCTTTTGAAAGACTCCGTGACATTTTAAAAATTTCCCCAACTCTTCCTCTTATTATGTTAAGTCTACTCCAGCCTGTCTTCTTCTTCTTCTTCTTCTTCTTCGTTCTTAATTATTAGTGTTGAAGGTGATCGAGAATTATCTGCCAGTGCGTTTGAACTCGAGACTTTGTTCAAATTTATCAACCATGAGCTTTTTGCCGACTCGACCACGCCTCCAACACAATTAAGCGTTACGTGTCAACTGGTTATGCGCCATTGAGGCCATTGACTCCGATTTCAGCCTGCTTTTCTTTTTGGATTTGCTTCCATAGCCTTTGTCCAACCAAGAACAAACTACAAGGCAGCAGTTGTTTAATTTTGGAGTAGTCTCTCCTAGAAGAGTGGCTGTCCCCAGCTAACGAGCCTCATCTGCCCGGGGGTTCGTACTCGAGACTTTTCGGTTTAGCAACCATGAGCTTTACCAACTCGACCACGCCGACCCCAACCAGCCTGTCTAATTGTGTTAATAACTGTATTTCTGATGATGTGCCCTATTCATCTCCACTTCCTTTTCTTTATTTAGTTCTCCACTTATGCCTGTCTGTTTAAGTCCCAGAGCCGAAGATTACAAATTTTGTTTGGTCAATTATACTTTCAACGCGGATTCCATTCCGTTATTGTTTCCTGGAGTTGGTTTATGAATTGTTAGAATGTGCGTAGAGAATCACCAGTCATCTGGTTATGAGCCAGAGTGGATCAATAAAATACGACCACTTTTGTGTTATCAAAAAATGACACTAACACTTAAAAGTACATATCTATAAAATAAAGATAAATATTTATATTGCTGTAGTTTAAAAAAAAATAACCTATACAGTTAGGAGGGGGTAGGGCCTATTTATCTTGAAGCATGTTGTCAAAGTAATTTCCTTTGATTAACAAAATTGTAGTTATGTATTCACTGAAATATTTTTTGTCATTATCATCTCATTTTCATCGCCAGTACCATCATGTTGCTCTGTAATGATCCACTAAATTACAGGTGCGCCCCATGTCTTGGACAGAGAAGGGAAAATATGATGACATTGCATTCTTTACTAGCATGATGGGAGGTGTTTGCTAACCAGACAGTGTGGGGGGGGGGGGGGGGGATGTCCCGATATCCCAGGGAGCTTGGTTGATTACATGTGACTTTAAACAGTATCAAGCAAAAGTTGTTCAGTTGAGGCATGTGCATAAGGAAAGCTGGAATAATACCATTGGGTGCTCGGGTTTAAAAAACCAGATCAACAAGGTAAATTTAAATTTATTCTATTTTAAATGTAAAGTGAAGTTCCATGAAATTAACAAAACAATTTTTAATGAAACCTATTTTGTATTATTTTAAGATTTCTCCAAATTTTTTTATCAGCCTCTTCCTTTAATAAGGATAAACTATCCAGTCTGTCATTTCACTGCACTGATTTAATTTTTAATGAATTTAACAGGGAAAATTATTGCTTGGAACTTTCCAAAATAACTTATACAATTTTTCCACTGGCTGAAACCATGTGGTAGCTACACCATAGAAAAAAACAAACTGAATTGATCTTGACTTAAGTCGATAGCACTTAGCACTTTCTAACAACTAGATTTATAAGTGAGTTGCACAGGGCACATTTCTAGCAAGTTTGTATTTTTCTAATACATACAATCTATGCATAGTTAAGAAATATTGTGTCCCAATAAATATTATTGTTAAAACGTTGGTAGTGCTCTATCCCTTATTACCCTGAGAATGTGCTAGTGGTTAATCCTGCCCCTGTGTGACTTAAGCCTTGTAACTTGTAGTGACAGTGTATGTAACTTTGGAAAATCACACTGGTATTTAATTTATTAGTCATCCACAACTTCACATGATTTCTACAAGAGCTTTAATAAAAGTTCATAGATTTTAACACACATTAACAAAACACAAAAATAGAGATTACAGACATCATTTATTCATACACAGTGTAAAAAAAATAATATTCAATCAATCTTGACTCAAGAAAAAAAAATACATAAGAACTGTTAAACAGCAGTGATTTACTGCATTAAAAAAATATCAAATTAATCTAATCAGTACCTTTTGAAAATTTAGACTGCACAGCTATTTGTAATTGTAGGCCCTACAGATGAATCTTTCCTGAAAATTAATTATTCTAAAATTGTAAAACAGATACCCAAAGACGATCTAAATAAAAACAATTACCAACTTTACTTTGAGTGACAAGATATGATGAGTCTTACTGGAAAAAATATTTACAGGTGAAAATTACAATTTATTTTACATTAAGCTACAAAATCCAATGGTCGATTGAATCCTCCTCTTCTGTTCATGTATTGCCTGCAAAGAAAAGTATATAACAAAATGTATTTTCCTGATCAAAACTAGACGGTTACATAATTTAAACAATACAAGTCATAATCATATTTCACCAACATTTTGAGCACAATTAACTTTTTAGATATATTTTGCAAAAAAAATATCAATTTTAATGACAGTAACTATTTGAAACAAACAGAAGTATCTTACCTGTAGCGTCTCTTTCTTTGTAAATTCACAGCTGAAACATCATTGCCAACAACTTTTTTTCCCTGATTAAAATAGAATTAGTGGAAAATAAAGTTTTGTATAAAGCTTTTATTAAAAAATGTATGGGTGCTTCAAATATTTTAAAGCTCTATTGTAAGTTTGGTATTGGATATAGGTTTTTCTTATTACTTATTCCCATTCGTGCATCATGCTTAAAAACACCCTATAGACAAATTACACTAATCACAGAATATTGTAAGCACAAAATTGTATGACTTCGCAACTTTAATGCAACTAAGGGCCAACATGGATGTTGAGGGTAAGCTTCAATGCATGGTTCAACTCCAATTTTATTCCTAGAATCTTCACTACGGAGTTTGTAATGTCAAGCACTATAGTAATAGATTAATACACCATAAAACACTCAATGGTTTTTAAACTAATATATTGTGTTAAAAAAAATAAAACCTACCTTAGTAGAATCAAATGTAGAAAAACCCATAAGTTTCATCATGTTTAGCTGCTCTTCATCAAGCCCATCAAGTTTACTGTCTGTAGATTTAAAAAGTCATCTAAACAACAAACATTTACAAGAAAATATTTTTTTAAGGCCTAATTATACCTTAATCAAACAGTCAATAAACATTCTTGGTTTTTATAGAATTTGTGAAATTATGCATCTACAGAACATCTATCTTGGATAAATAAATTATGCCTCAAAAACAATTTGTTAAAGAAATCAATGTATAAAAATAAGATAAATATTTTTCTTCACCCACAAGACAAAATGAATGCCCAAAAAACTCATAGGTTACTTACTGTCGACAGAAGATTTCTCAATGTCTATTACTTTAGGATCAATTTTTTCTGGATCTCTTGAAATTCATGAAAATATGCAATGAAATAAAAAAGTTAATTTTAGTACATAATTGAATTTTAAAAACTATAATTAGAGGTGTAATCATAGTGACAGCTTGCTTAGATAGATGCACACATTTTCAACAATTATTTTATAAACTTAAATGCTGTCAGGAGACAATATTTTGAGCTTGAACTCAAGGTAAAACCCAATATATTATAGTTGCCTATGAATGAAGAAATTCAGGTAGATTTCTTTCTCTGAACTCAGCATACTACTGGATAGAATGCCCAGCTGAATTTACTTTCCACAACTCTCAAGTCCCCATCTGGGCTAGGTAGATTCAAGAACATCCTAAAGACTCATGCCAGTAACTGACCTTTGTGCATTTATCTCAGCTAATATTAAAACCTATTGTTTAATAATCCAGTAACAAATCTGTCTTAGAAGATTAGTTATTTAAGTTATATGAAAATACTTACATATCTTTAATTTTTTTAGGAGGGGTTATTGACCTGAAATAAATCAATGATGGCAAGAAGTTAAAAACAAACTGATATTGTACAGAACCCCCTAGAAGTAAAAATAACATGTGCAACTATTTTTTTTAATAGAAAGGTAAAAAGCGACCAAGTCACCTTTTCCTAGGAGAAATGGATCTAGACCTGTGTCTTGGTGGAGGTGAAGGCCTATGTCTTGGTGATCGTGATCTACTTCTCTTCTTTCGGTCTAAAAGAAAAGAGATTCAAAAAGTTAAAATTTTTGACAAAATGAATCACGTTGAATTAACCCATTTATCTGCATGTATTGTTAAATTTTATTAAGATTTTCATAAGAAGATGAACATATTAACATGGCTATTATAATAAACAATGCTGTACTCACGCCGCCTTTCTCTAGAACGAGACCTTGATCTTCTCCTATCTGGGGAAAGAAAAGTATCAATGTAGCAAGTTTGTGGTTATGGTGGTAACACCTTGTTTAAACTGAGCCAAACACTTGTCAGTAGCAGGATTGCAAAACTAAGTTTTTCTAGCGCTAGAAGGTTATAAAACGTCAAAACTTGTCAACTTCTCAATGCCTGCCTAGATCTATTAGTAATTTCTAATATTGCTGACCCGGGGGTGGACCCTGTTGCTGGGACAAAAAATCTTTTTCTGAATAGTCACTTCGAAAAATATATTCTAGGGCTAAATCTAGGGCTAGGCGGCTAGCTAGGGCCTACACTTTACTCTTTTTTTAAAAAGCCAAGCCCAAACTTTATGAATGAAAACATTGGGTAATCTATAGTTTTAGGTACGTAAAATCGCCTGCGTCTAGTAATGTACGAAAAAGTTACCTCATTGTCAAGGCTTTAGTAGAAATATATTGTGATATATTTGTGTCAAATATGATAGATAAATGAATAATAAACCTAAATCAATGGCTAAATATATTAATATAGGCAAGAAATTAACTTTAAACAGCAGTGTTTGCGAGCAGGATAATCCTGCTCGCAAACACTGCTGAGGATTTGCTATATAAAAAGCGGCCATCTGTAAGTTAAGAGTGGCTTCCCCTGAATCTTGCGCTATAAGCTTACAATAAAAAAAATAAACATGATGGCTGCTATAGTAAATGAGCATGGTTGCATCTGTTGGAAACATCGATAGTCTTCATTTATAACTGAAAAGTTTTAATTCAGTTGTTTAAAAACAGGTACATAGTAAATAAAACAATGAAACATTTTTGTATTTTTCAAAATATAAATCCTCCTCAAAATGTGAAATAATTATTAAAATGTAAGGAGTCACCTGTTTTTCACATTACTAGTCTCGGGCGATTTTACGTAGCCTACCTAAATAAAACGATAGATTACCAAACAATAGGCCTTTCGGTTCAACGCTTCCGGGTTTGTCATTTTCGTGGCATCTCACGGCTCATGCGCTTACTAAAAATGGCGACCAGTTTCGCTTTCACTAAACGGTAGAGGGATAAAACTAATAATTACGAGGCCATCGTTAATTTTAGACATCGGAACTATCCGTTTCTATTTCAGTCTGTTATTTAAGAATTCCCAGATCTACTTTTGACCTAATTTTTTGGTTTGTCTCGCAGGCGACGCGTTAGTGAAAATAGCTCTATGAATTCTTGTCTTTTATATCAAATAACTCTTACATATCGCTTCACGACGCAAACCAGCTTATGTCAGATGTAAACTTTAAAGTATTAATTTTACACATATTACAATTAACTGGTAATAATTTATTGTGTTAATGATATATGTGCGTGGGAAAACGATCACCCCCCCCCCCCCAATAATGCCATTTTATTATAATCTTGTTTAGTGAAAACGAGGCGCGGGAAAATGTGTGCTGCGCAAGAATCCAATCATTTGGCTAGATTTATGACTTTTTTTTTATGTCACACCTAAAAATAGAATGTTTACCCTTTCTTTATTGATGATCGTTTTTATTATTTTTTAAATTGAAAGTATGAATTATTAGTTAGATTGCAGGTTTTGTAACTTGGTATACTTACCATTTATCAATTTTAAAAGCATAGCATCCTAATTGTGAACAAATATAGTCATAAAACACAGAAACATTAAGTTATAATTGCGATGTGCCACACCCCCTCAAGAAAACACGTGTTTATTAAGCTGTTTATCTCACTTTACAACAGTAATTAAGATTAATTTTCAAATTTTTATCACTTATTGGGTAAGATTAAGCACATGTTTACTAAAAATAAAAAAAAAGACAAAAGCAAATTCTGTTTTAATGAAGGTCACGGGTAAAGTTTTTTTTCCTTCTGTCAAGTTCAGTGGAGGGCGGCGCCACAGACTGACCTGACTATGGAATTTTTTTTCAGTAATAATGACTTTACACAGAAAGTTAAAATATGCTAAATTAGCTTAGTTTACTAGTGTTCTAGAGTGGCCGTCCGATCTGCACCATGCACAACGCTGCGATCGCACTCACGTTAAGTCACGTTTTCGGCTATAGCTACTTTATTTTAATGTTTTATGCAAAACCGCAGTGTTTGGCACGTCATATTTTCATTTCTGAACACTTCTATGTATAGTTCATGCTATTTCGTTTTTCTGAAAATTGATTATAATTTTTTAAAAATTGCATGATACACATTTTCTCCTTTCACACTCTCCCGGATGTACCGACAGAGTTCGGGATTAGCTTCAGAACTTGAACCAATCAACAGTTAGATAAAATGTAACGCTAAAAATAGCTTCTAGATACATACAGCTAACTGTACATGTCAAGGTTGATGGGGTTTTCTCTTCTAAAATTAGAAAAAAGGGGTGATTACATGATTTTTGGTCCCTATTGGTTTTCCCACCCAGACTGCGCTCACAACTCAGAATATTGCTTATTAAATAGGAATTTGGTTTAAAACGTTAATTAGATCACTGGAAGGATGGGGAAAAGCATGACCTAGTTTGCCATAAGGTTCTTTGGACCTGACAGGCTTAGCGGGAGTCATGTGACCAGGCAAGCTTCCAGGTAGGATAAGTGGGTCACGTGACTTGCTCGGCATAATAGGTAGGCTGAATAAGGATCATTGAAATATTTAAAGATACTTATAACACAGTATACACATAAAATATGCAGCATATAATGGTTATTTTATTTGTTTAATTAACTTTTAACAGACTCTAAATAGTCTAAATGAATAAAATAAGCCCTGAGCACAATCTGGATCGATCTGGGTCAAGTAAGCGCAAGTGACTGCAAGAAGGATACAAAAAAAAAAGTGATTGCCGAGGTGGTTCACCTCCATAATTTGAATTATCTCCAATGCTATGCGTAGGAATACAATATGACTCATACCTAATATAGTAGAATGGATGTAGACTTACAGGATACTTTCGGTTTGTTTGTATGTGAAACGGTCATTAAATAGTGCCTAATGGAAATTGGGAGTTCCGCTAACGAGTGCAAAAACATTTTTAATAAAAAAATCATTCTGTAATTCTAATAAAAAAGCCTACCAAACAATGAAACATTAAACATTGAAATGCTCAGGCTCAAAAAAATTAAAAAAAAAATCGGGCAGTCCTGATATCTAGTTTTCTGGAAATTACCAGATCTACATTTCTAGATCGATCTAAAAAAATTCTAGTTCTAGATCTAGGCTAATTAGGTAATCTATCGTTTTAGCGTAATCAATTCGGCTGAGATAGTAATGTGCGGGAGAGGTAACTGATGAATATATTTGTTTAAATAAGTTTATTTAAGTCAAATTTTACAAAATATTACAGATAATTGATTTAAAATAACAATCAGTGACCAAAACAATTTAAATAACATGAAACTAACTTTAAACTAGGTGTTCGAGATAAATATTAGTAGAAAAAAACAGCGGCCATCTTTCCAAATAAAATTTAGAGTAGTTTCCCTTGATGAAAATGTCTATTCGTATGTATATTGTGTTGATTTTGTTGTTTAATATACATCCCTGAAGAATATATTCGTTTTCGTTAGAAATTGTGATTAAGAGTTCGGGTATAGTAGAACTGCGATATGATATTAAATCATCATCTTGTTTTTAGCAACTATTGGGTGAGAGGGCAATCGTCAGGAAAAGTATGACGTCATTTATGGGCGACCCATTTAATTAAGCCTAGTCGTTTATTTTGTCTATAGACATTAGTCTTAGGCCTACACTTTTTCTAAATTAAGATTATTGTGTTTTTTAAAATATGTTCAAATTTTTATTAGTTACATTTGAATACCACATGGTTTTTTTTTCTTTGTCTTCTGCTGTCATCAGTTTTTGATTTCTTCAGTAGTCAATGTTTACCCCTCCCCACCATCCATTATTACAACAACAAAAAACACCCACTATATATGTCATAGCGTAGATATATAGAATTAGACTAGACGAGTACAGGTTACTAAGGACGGTACGAACTTGACGGTAGACGATTTGGTGCGAGAGTATTATGCGCGTGTTCAATAAAATATGTGTGGCGTGAGTGTGACGTGAGCATGGTGCGACAATGTACCGATGACGTAAGACGCAGCAGTGAAGTTAGTTGGGGGTTAGATATAGTAGAAGACGGACGTATTTTGTTTTTGATATTGTGCAAATGACCTATAAGTGTGTGTTAATAAAGTTCATGTTATTTCATAAACGAAATTGTTGACATTGTTAATTAGTGTCTGCGGAACATAAGAGTGATTCCCGTCCTCCTCACGAGTATAATAGTTGCCGTATGAATAGTAGTAGATCAGAATATATTGAGAATTATATATAACCCCCCCCCCCCCCATCACAATATAGTGATATCTCCCTCTAGAAAAAAAAAACTAGATCAACCTACAGTTCGTAGGAAAATTAGAATCTATTACTTATTCGTCTGTTAAAAAAAAAAAGAAATACGTCATTTTTTTCTCAACCACGCCGTTTCATCCCCCACTAAGCACAACGTCACAAAGTTCGCGGCGCGCGTGACGTCATTTGTCATTAGGCTAATGTTTAAGAAAGAGATACAGCGTAATTAAAAAAAATCGAAACAGGCACTAAATGACTATGGCGATGAGACTTTAGCGACATTTAGCCTGACGAATAGATCTAAATGACTTTAGTTCGGTGAATTATATTGGTGTTTAATTTATTACAGTGGCATGATGTTCTCCCTCTACTATACAAATTCACGTGCTTTTAATTTCTGCAACCTGCTGCCCTGAGACGTTCGGCTCTAAAATGCCCTTGACACAACGGCTTCGGTAACTGCATTTAGGCTCCCGGTCCCACCTATAAACGTCTGTCCATTAAGCTCCACGCAAAACGTGTGATTAATATGTGGACATAAGCGGCGCTAGTGGTGGTGTCAACAGGGGCCAAGCTCAGGTCTTAAGCTAAAGGTGCTCCGCACTTCATAAAAGACAAAATTGATGTTCATATATCGTCGGACTCTGGCGTTTTGCCGACGGCCGTACTCCTAATGCACAGTCTTAGAGGCTGTCCACTGCTAACACTATTTTATGTTAAATTCAAGCCTATACTGAGCTGTGGCTTTACATTAGCTCAGTGGCGTAGCGAGGTCGAGTGTTACCCGGTGCGGCACTTAATGGTGTCACCCCCCCCCCCCCAGAGGCGACAAACTTTCAATTTTCGATTTGTCCCATTTTACCTGCTAGTCAATAATTGTCATGGACTCTTGTCGAATATTGTTGCCATGAGCTACTTGGTTTGAGCCTTGTTGTCAGAAGTTATTTCATTTGGAGTCAATATAGTGCGGCCTATTTTCGTCGGTAGGCATTTAGTGGCGGGCCCTTTTTGGCGGGGATGATGTGCTGAGGTTGTTTAACACCGCTTAGGACAACAGGCATGCAATAGTTATGATCATTCGTTATGAACAAATGTATGCATGAAAACGAACGCTTTATGTTCCTCATTTTCATTGAGCACAGCTTTATAGAAGATTCCAAAATAGACGTCACACATCCCCCCCCCCCCCCCCGACCACCCTGCGTAAGTTGACGTCACATTAGCATAGCATCGTTTATGGACAACCCCATATAAATAATATAACTCATTTTGGGTATTTGGTATCAACATTTTGACAACAAAGGTTATTCAAAATGTATATAGGACTTGACATCTACCATAAATGACATCGCACACTTAAGGGGTGGAGTAACTGGTTTTGAGACGACGTTTTACGCGGGAAGTGGGAGGGGTAAGAAACGTGAGACGTTAAGTATTTCGCCTAATACAAAAATGCTGAAAATATCTTTTTCATTAGAATTATGGCTTGACTTTTTAATAGACAGGGCAAAAAGGTAATTTTCGACAATACGACTATTTCGTGACGGCGAAAATGGGGGGGGGGGGTTAAGGTAAGAGAGGTCAAAAAACGGGACGTCATTTATGATTAAATCACTAATTAAATGAAAAAAGCATGAACATATTAAATGAAAATAGCAAACAAACAATAACACAAACAATAAGAATTAACTCAAACTAATATTTAAATAAACATTAGATATGTAGTGGTAGCTCTATTAAAAAAGGGAGTAGCCTATCTTAATGTATAAAAATTGCATCTCATAATAATAATTCTAGAACAGATGTTTATTGTCAGTCAATTAAATTGTTTAAAGGGCAGAATAAAAAAAAAACGCATGCTTTGTATTTAAACACAAGACTAACGTATTTAATAGCAAACATCAATACAGTTCCATACAAATAGAAATTAAAGGGAAATGACTCAAAATAATATTTTCTTAAGATGGCCGCTGTTTTTAATAGCAAATTTAGTATCTGGAACATCGCTGTTAAACCTTAATTTCATGACATTTTTATTGATTTAACCCTTAGGCCTAAATGTGGTTTAATATTCAATTATCTTTAGTAGGCCTATTTAGTATTTAAGTAGAATATCATTATGCAAACATTTATTCATATTTATTATTTAAGCCATATTTATTAGTTACCTTATCCCTACATTACTAGTGACGGCCGAATTGATTACGCTAAAACGATAGATTGCCGGCTAATTATTAATTAATAGGCCTAAAATAACTAGATCTAGATCTAAAATAAATTAATTTCACTTCTCTGCTTTTCACAGCTTTCGGTCGGCTGGCCTACCTCGTTTACTAGGCGGTGATCTGCTTCGGCTTCTAGGCATCTTGGAAGTTTACAAATGTATTATTAGAATCAAGTCTACAACTAAAATCTGTTTTGATGAGTTCTGTTATGATTGGTACAAAGTTCTGATGAAGAAATTACAGTGGTAGCGGATCTAGAATTTCTAAATCTAAATATTTTATCAACACATTCGTAAACTAAACGTAAACAGGGTAGCTAACTCTAAAAACAAAGTAATGCCTAAAACTTACTTCCGTTTGGATGATCAACAAAAAATTAACAATATGTTTTAAAATGTGTCTCACAGATGCAACGCCTCCGTGGCCTAATGGATAAGGCATCGGCCTCCTAAGCCGGGGATTGCGGGTTCGAGTCCCGTCGGAGGTGCAATTCTTTTTCCGTATTTTATAATTTTTTTTGTCCGCATAATCTAGTGTTTCAACAATTTAAAGAAAAATGTTTAATGGTAATTACTTATTTATATAAACAAAAGTTGATACTTATTTTCGCGAATTTAGCCTATTATTTTGTTATTGATAAATGGTTTTGCTACTATTTGGATTAAGAAGATACATTTGTGGCTGCATAGATCCAGATCTATATTTCTATCAATTGTTGTTCTTTTTTTCTTTTTATTTGCAATTAATATTTGATTAAAGACAATTTGCAATGAACTATCGATTCTATAATTCCATGGATTAACCCCACCCTAAAATTACGTCATACCTCAGCCTATAACCCCCCCCCCCCCTCCCCTCAAAATTGAAATTGAAATTTTCTTTAAATACGATATTTTTCCAGAATCTTGTCTGAACTCTGTCAACATAGAGCAATTTAATCAACTCCTATTACAATTTATTAACAGTTTTCTAAAACGCGAAACCACGGCTAAAATTCGTCACACCATATGACCCCCCCCCCCTCTCCCCCTTATCACACACCGTCACAAAATTACGGACCCCCCCCCCCCCCTCCCACCTACGAGAGTGACGTGATTTATGGACGACCCCTTAGTCTTGAACATGCCCATCTAACATATAAAAGTTAAAGGGATAAATCTTTTTATACAGTGACACTCTGTGTAAATAAATGTTAATTAAGCTTGATTTTTTTTCCCATACCTGCTCCAAGAACCTAAAAAAAAAAAAAAAAAAAAAAAAAAAAAAATTAAAAATACAGGTAAAGGGAAATAATTACAGAAAGTCTGACTTTGTAACAAATTTGATTGAATTAATTCCCCTGGAGTAAAAAAAAAGTTTTACCAACGTATGATCTCTGTATACTGGATTTTTAAATTTGTATTCTATTGTTCAATGAACTTAACAATGGAAGTAAAATATTAATCAACTAACATACAATCGTATGACAATACATTGTCTGGCCAGCTGAAAATTTTTAGCAAGCATTTATTGATAAATTTTCAAAACATAATTCTTAAAAAAAAGTAAAGCAACTTAAATATAAAATTAAAAAAAAATATAGTATTAAAATGGACAAGTGTGAAGTCAGAAAAGCCGCCTCTATGCTGAACGGCCCCCTTATTTATCCCCTACACTTACAAAATATGTGCATGAATTAGTAACCCATCTTGTACAAGAAAGCAACGCTTGTTAATTTCTAAGTAAATGGATGAAAGCTTTAACATACAGAGCACATTTCGAATTGAAATTTTTTAAAAATGATTTTCCACATCTGAAATGCAGGCCATGTAAAGCTAATTATGGAAATATTACGTTTTTTTTTCAACCAAAACGTGCATGTATTTTTAAAAATTTCAAATTTCTAGTTTAATATACACTAAAAAAATAAATTATAATTTTACAACACTGTAGTTTATTTCGAAATAATTAATTAAAAAAGTATTATTCAGATACTAAACAAGAGATTTGGAGTTGCTGAGAAAATATTACGCAAGGGAGATAATTTTTTTCCTCTCCCCAACAATGACGCACAGATTAAAAACCACTAAACAATTTCAAAATTAACTTTACCGCGCACAAACAATAGAAAATTGCCTTGAATGGTTAGATTTATTTTTCATAATGCAATTTTGTGTTGTTCTTTTTAGTGGTAAAAAGTGTAGAAACTAACATTTTGCTTTTGTAGCTAATTTAATTTGATTAATAATGGAAGAATTTGACAGGTTCAATCAAACGCGATTTTTAAATATTTTTTTTTGTATACGAAGAACGTTTTCAACGCCTAGCGTAACGTCCCTGTGTTTTTTTTTATTATCTTAATTGCTGATTAAATTTCTAGAAGCCGTTTTTTGTTCAATTGGGAAAATTTCCGCCTTCCCCTACCACATTTATAAGGCGATAGCTTGCGTTCTTTTCTTTACTCTATTCATCATTTATCATCAGCTACAACGCTGAGGTGTATCTGCCATTGCTAATGCTAGTTTTATTTTCAGAAGGAAAAACGAACCTTTTCTATTGTAATTAATATAAGGTGTCATCAATATTTTAAAAAAATGGTGAAACAATTATAACCATAGATCTAAATGTTAATTAAAAAAAACCAAAAAACCTCTTCATTTCATTTTATAAGAAAAACAAAAACATTGAAGATTTATATGTATATTTTTATAAGTTCAATGGCCTACTGGGTATGGTGTCGGCATTTTCTGCCACGGATTCCGCGTTCGCATGCCATCGGAAGTAACAAAGATTTTTAAAGAAACGTACTATCTGATGCCATAAGATTTCTATTTGAATGATGCAATAAAACAGTATGATCTAGATCTAGATCTATTTCATGTGTTTAACGAAACCTGTCTAAATGCATCGAATCTTCTCTCAATACATATTAAATCAATGTAAATGGTTGTGACTTCTGCTAAATATAAAACTGCACAATTGAATTGCACACATTTGAATAGCACACTCGCAGCCCAGGCATTTATCTTATCAACCCAATCTTCCTAAAGACCTTACTCACGTCGGACCCACCCCGCTTGACCACCCCATCCCCTGACGTCATCCGGCACCGTTCCCATGTGACCCCGGGCTCCCGGCCGCTGTCTGACCGGAACCACGCAGCTTGGACAGTGCTGTCCGCCGGTGCCAGCCTGAGTCTTTTTGTCCGGGGCATGTGCAGCAGTGTGGCCCTTGTCTCTGCTGCATGCCCCGGGGCGGGGAGATTGGAAATTATTCCCACGCTTAATCTCACGGAGTGTCTTCAAGCTGGCTCTGAGAAATATATGATGATACTTACGGAGAAGTATGTAGGCTATATATATATATATATATATATATATATATATATATATATATATATATATATATATATATATAGGCTATATCTAGCCTGTATAAATTTATTGTGTTTGCAAGGTAAACTTGCCCATCTGAGATTTTCATAAGAAGTGGATTAAAAAATGATTTGAAATGAAGGAAAGAAATGATAGGATGACAGGGAGAAATAAACATGGATAGAAACGCGAGGAAGGCAGAAAAAAAAGGAAGAATGAGAACCACGGTGCATAATTTTTCTAGAAGTGTCTGACCGGTTTTGAGGTGTTTTTTTTCTGTGCGTTGAAAATTGTATGTATAATAAAAAGCATTCAAATATCGATAAAAATATCTTATTTGATTGTGGGGAAATGCCATTCAGGAAATAAGTGAAATATTGAAATAGAAGAAAAAAAATTATGATCTAAGTACACTTTGCTCAAGTACAACTGACGTCATGTGGTGAAGATACCTCTTGAGACTAGCACTTAGCTCCTTACAATTAATCAGTCCTAGCTACGCACGCATTTCATATAGAACCGTTTATCTATTTTCCCTCTGTTTCTTCCATTGACAGCTAGCTATTTCCGTGTTCTGCGGGTGTTTAAAATCGTTGCCAACGAGACAGGGCAATAATTTTTCGCTCGTAGAATTACCATAATTACAGACCAGTCAGTTATGGTTTGCGGACAATTTACACACATCTTCTCTGACATCTAAAGTATCTTCACTGTTATCGTTTAGTCCCTATATCGTTAATTCATACACAAACACACGCACACCAACACGCACGCACACACACATTCATACACGCATAAGCACGGACACTTACACATACACTTACACCCACACTTACACCCACACTTACATCCACACTTACACCCACACTTACACCCACACTCACACTCACACATACACTTACAAACACACTTACACCCACACTTACACCCACACTTACACATACACTTGCATCCACACTTACACCCACACTTATACCCACACTTACACCCACACTTACACCCACACTTACAGTCACACTCACACTCACTCTCACACTCACACTCACACTCACACCTACATTAACACCCACACGCACACTTACACCCACACTTACACATACACTTACACATACACTTACACTCACACTTACACCAACACTTACACATACACTTACACATACACTTACACCCACACTTACACCCACACTTATACATACACTTACACATACACTTACACCCGCACTTACACCCACACTTACACCCACACTTACACCCACACTTACACCCACACTTACACTTACACCCACACTTACACCCACACTCACACTCACACTTACACATACACTTACAAACACATTTACACCCGCACTAACTCCCACACTTACACCCACACTTACACCTACACTTACACCTACACTTGTACCCACACTTACACCCACACTTACACTCACATTTACACCCACACTTACACCCACACTTACACCCACACTTATACCCCACACTTACACCCACACTTACACCAAAACTTACACACACTTACACAAACACTTACATCCAGACTTACATTTACACCCGCACTTACACCCACACTTACATTCACACTTACACTTACACCCGCACTTACACCCACACTTACCCCCACACTTACACATACACTTGCATCCACACTTACACCCACACTTACACCCACACTTACGCCCACACTTACACCCCCACTTACACCCACACTTACATATCCACTTACATCCACACTTACACCCACACTTACATCCACACTTACACGCACACTTACTCCCACACTTACACCCATACTTACACCCACACTCACACTCACACTTACACATACACTTACACCCACACATACACATACACTTACACATACATTTACACTCACACTTACACTCACACTTACACCCACACTTACACCCACACTTACACCCACACTTACACCCACACTTACACCCACACTTATACATACACTTACACTTACT